GCAAACAATGTTTATCATTGGAACATGATCAATGTCATTTGTTAATTACAAACATTCCCAGAATAAAATAAAACATTGCAAGAGTTGCTGTTAGCTAAAGATAAGTTGTAGGCAGGACAATTATTGTACCGATTGATAGTGGCATAGTGGGAATAGTAAATCCAGCCATACAGTATTTTCATCTACTTTTACAGGTCATTTGACTTGAGGTTGAGAGCAATTCCTTGATTTGCTCGGATTCCTTGCAAGAGTTTGATAGCAATTTATGGCAGGTAGGTTCAACATGGAACTTATATAGTTATAGGGCTAGCTTGGCAAATTAACACAAATGCCAAATGTGACAAATTGCTAGCTAACACATTCAATAAGAAAATGATGATATTAAGAGCAGGAAATGTGATTACAAAATATTGTTGCCAGCGCGTGGATGCTGGTGTGGTCTGAAGGACCCACTTTATATGTCTCTGGCAACCTTGTAACTAAAGTGGTTAGTGGTTGATGGAGTAAAATGAAACAGCAGCAAATACCAGTAAACTGAATTATGTATTGTGCATAAACAAGCAACTTATCAAGTGGCAACATTTTAAATGTACCAAACAATGGTCAAGACAACTGATAGACAGCTCAAATTGTTAGGTATAAACTAGGGTGGATATTGAAGGGTAAGCTGTAGCTTAGATCAGTTAGATGCAAATCAAGAAGTGAGGAACTGAATAAACTACTAGGCCTACTATGTAAATTAGGGAGCATGAGATGGGTCAGCAGTAACTGTGGGAGAAAATAATAGCCCTAATTAATAGACGGACTAGGGAGGCTGAATTCCATTATAAGTAATAAAATTTAGTAAATTACAAATAATAATCAGCACGCAATAATAATAAATTTAGTTAGGTAGGAAACAAATAAGCAAAGGGAATTGAGAGGATATGATACACATTTGCAGTAAGTTACCTAGGTATGCAACTAACCATAGTGAAAATAAATAAACTATCCTAGAATAAAAGGAATAAACCTTTATCTCTGAGAACATTAAAGTGGTTCGACTAACAATGAGCTATGAGTGCAATAGTAAGAATTCAAATTGCAGTTAACAGGCAGCAAATAAAGTCAGTTTATCACAGAAGTTGGCTTGATAGATGAAGCATCACTACAAGAAACTTGTTAGGCTACAAATTATTGTATCCACTGTTGACTGTTCACTTACTTTAAATCTTGCTAATTAAAATCCTATCCAAGCACTTAGCTCTTCTTAGCGCAAGCCACCAGTATAAAGTGGTACACTGGGTGGAAGACTTCACCATGGAACTTGCAACTTGGGTCCTAAACCCCAGATCATCTCAATATGAAATTACATGCTACAGATTTGCTTTGTGGCAAAAGGGTCATGGTAACCTCCAGACTCCAGTTACTGAATCCTATAAACATCTTTGGCCGAGGCTTGGCTCTGCTGCTTTTGTGGCAAGTTGGCAACTTTGAGAAGCAACAACACAGCATATGCCAAGGAGGCTGGAGCATAAATCATATAGTAAAGCATAGTGACAAACCAGAGATAGCTATTTTAAAATCGGTTCATTTTTAATTTCCTCATTTACTCAATAGTCAATAGCTACCTATATAAACCAATTTCTTGTGTATTCCTATAATGCTGGTATCCATGAATGGACCATGATACTTTACTGGTCTACTTATAGGACTCAAAAATGAAAAGGGAGACTGGGAGAGTAATCCCAAATGTTATAGGCTAATTTGAATTTTGAACTGAATGGCTTAATTGGCTTCTATTATGAAATACTAGTTAAGTTCCGTCATTTATACATTTATATTAAATATCATAATAAGGTCACTGCTTATCAAGTACTCCAGAATTCTCTTCTTTCATACAATTTCCCAGGTAGAGGTAGGTATATACCTAGGCAAGCCTGGCAAGGTCGGTGACTCGGAACAGAACTAGCCTTTAGTTTAGGCTAGAGTTGAGCTTGAGCCTGAGCCCTGAGGTAACACTGCAACTGCATATTTAAATACGATCATTTCGCGACATTATAGAGATAGACATATTCATCGCAACAAATGGCTTTCCCTACGATAAGCTTACAAAATTATTATTCCACTTACCCAGTTGTTATTCATGAGATATCCAGAGTCCAGACTCCCTTATTTAGAAAGGACCTTAACTGGTTCTCGAACTTGATCAACGATGTTGCCAGAAGTTACAGCAGAAGTTTTGCGCTTAACACTTATTATGTTAATTACAGAATAATATTATTTATTAATTAGATATATTAACCGAGTAGTTCACTTGTTCCGAATATCTTGCCAAATTTCACCAGTTTTAGTGGGCAGAACTGATTAACTGCAATCAATATGCGCTAGAGCAGCGAAGCTTGGATGCGCAAAAGCGAAAGTTCATGCCTGCTGAGAGTTGTATGAAGTGCCTACGTGGCATATGGCCTCATGCATCGATCATGACCGTGGCAAGTTCCATGGGAAGTGTACCTACGTAGGCGCTTGCCGCTTGTACAATGTACATCCTTCAATTAAAAGTACTGCACTAGCCCTAGTCTGGAAGTGGAAGCTGGGAGGGGGGTTCCGCGAGACGTTTTACTTCCCTATTTACGAAGGGGATGAAAAGTACCTCATCTCTTGTTAACGATTTACGTGCTGTTCCTTTTCCTGAAGTTCCTAAAAAAGAGAAGTTTTCAAATTCATTCCAACGATTGCATGAACGGCAAACTTCAGTCTTTTTGGTGCAGCAGGTTTTCAGTTTTATAAATAAATAAATTTTCAACACCTAGAATTTGTACTTTTAATTGTACTAATAATGTCTTTTCACACTTTTAACGTAAGTCACAGACGAAATCGTTTAATTGCTCATGAGTTAATGGAGAATCTGTGATGAACCACCTGCTCCAGGAATTAGTGCCAACTGACTCAAGCTCCGAACTAAGATTGCCGTCGTTTACACAACACCATTTCCGAGAGCCTTGTGGTGCAGGCGTATTGTACAGGATTACAAGTTGACCGACCGCTCGAAAGCCTGTCGCCTCAACTACATAAATTCTTCATCCGCGCATGTTGTCAAACCAAAATTTATCAGGTTATTTATCAATAAACACTAGCTGTTAAAGTTAAGTTTATGCTACATTGTTTACATTATTATTATGTATCACAGGAGTGTGCTCACACGCCACGTAATTTAAAAATTCAGTCCAACAGCAGCGAATTCTGAATAATCTATGAAAGCATCTCATAATTCGAAAGAACGAGTTACGCAGGAGCAGCTATATGATGTCATGCACAAAGAACGGTGAAGATTTCTAGGTTTAGCGTAGAGCAGTACAATGAAACGAGGTGGCCAGTACGAAGGCGCTCTCTCGTAAGGAATTAAAACGCTTACGAAGAACTAAACCTTTATTTATAAGAAACATTCCGCCTGTTGGTTAGTGTGTAAAATTAAGCTAGGTAGGGAGTCACTTCGGACGAAATAGGAAAAACTGATCTGTATATCTCGCAGGTGTGTTAACCAAGATCCTCTCTTCAATGTTACTCTCTCGACTAATCGTATTGCTCAAATACTTCCTTTACTGGAGAAAAAAAAACTTGCTTTAAAGTCATGAACTTCCCTGCTTCGGTGGTGAATTTACGTTCAATCTTCTTCGACTTTTAATGATACAGATTACGTCATTGACCAGCTTCAGTGTTTGACTCTGCACATCTTTGAGTTTTTCGGCCACCGGTCACGTTTTAGCAAATTGTCGCTGCTTTAGCCGTTTATTATCACGAGTATCGTGGCAATGTTTTTATTATGGACCTTAGTCTTCCCCACAAATATCGAACGTAAGTTTCTGGGTCTGAAATTTTGTGACTGGATCTCTGAGACGTTTATGAGATTGAAATAAAAAACACGTTTACCTGACATGCATGGCTATAAAACATGGACATTCACCGCAGAACAGCCTGACATTGATGAATAAATGGCAATTCTCTCGACGCCGTTTCAAGCGTTCTCCGCTCAACTACACGGTCGGGCTAGAAAATATTACCGGTCGGGCTAGATCAGAATGGGGGGTCAGGGGGCAGCCTCGAGAGTCTCTGAAGACGCTTCAGTCTCCTCCACTCTGCACATTAAACTCAAACTGAACACTGTAACCTTATATTAATATATTTATCTCATTATTACTGTAACCTTATATTAATGTATTTATCTCATTATCACTGTAACCTTATATTAATATATTTAATCTACGGAAAATTTACTGATTTGTTGGTAAAAACTAATATAACTACCACTAGAAGAATGATTCTGAAATGCTTGGTATAGCGATCAATGAATAATAAAGAGTTAAACCAACTGGTATCGCAAAAATGTTAAAGTCGTGCGGCTTATTGTTCTCTTGGTTCAAAATTTTCGTTAGCGGTAACAGTGCATGGTAATACAAAGCTTACATAATTTATCTTAATGTCAGCAAATTTAAAATGATTAGCCAGGATAGCATTCCAAATTTCAGAGTTGTATCTTACTTCTGAGGGGAGTTATCTGTCTAATTCATAGTTAAGAATCTCCAAAGAAGACTACCGCGGCTGAGCACCTTGATGCAGTCTCTTAATTTACTTCTCTGAATTATTAGAAACAATATGTCAAGTGCAAGTCTAAATTTTTTGGAGGTCTACTCAAGTGCCCGCTATCGTATTTTCTTTTTTGGTAGCTTCAGCATACTTGTTTTAATCAAAAGAATCAATTGATAAATTACTGGCCTATTTTCAGTTTGGTTAATAAATTTTTGTATGATTGCTAAGAAGCCCTGTGATCGTATTTTCGCTATATTTACTCGTTTTCATTTAGAAAACCGGAATTTTATGTGAAAATTTTCAACTAATTTTTCTGAATCTTGAGCCCGTTGTATTTTAGTTCTAACCTGGCTTCATTTACCAGCCCCACCCAGTGTTCAGAAACAGCCTTTATCGCGTGAAACGTGCATTTTAAATTGTGATAACAAAACATGTTTGTTTGAAACTTTATTTATAAATTATAAATAAGCTATAATTTACAATTTCCATGTCGCTGGAGATCACAATAGATACCGAGTCAAAAACATAGTTTTATACACCTCGAAACGGCTGGTCGACAATTAAGAAGTAGGGAGGGAGCACAAGCTTGACGTATCACTCGCTGGTTCAGTTCGTAACGCCAGCCCGACTTCCCAAGGATAATTGTCACTTCGTGATTATTAAAAGCTTATATATACCTACAGAACTTGAATCAGGATTTAATGCTGACCTAACTGGTATGACCGATAAACTTGCAGCGTCACAGTAACGTCATCTAGGCTTGCGTGATAGTAATTAAGTTACTTCTTCGGCAGCCGTATCCCATTTAACCATGTCATTGTTCAACCATGAGAACAAAAATTTTTTATGCATTTCTCAAGTTAAGATTTACGCTAACACTATATCAGTTCAAATGTAATTCAAGTGACTTTATTGATGACCCTCATTATGAGTATTAGCCGATCTCTGGAGCGGACGTTATGAGTCACATTACGTATAATTCTTTGCAGCCACACTAGCTCTCTTCGGATGTTAAGAAGCAATATCGAAATCTTGTCATAGGTTTTCTATTTAGGGTTTATTTTCAGTAAACGAAATATATATTATTCCATATTTTCATATCATTTTTTTAAATTATGCAACCGCAAAAAATATGCGTCTCGCGCATTGAAAGTGCTAACGAAATCTTTGTAAAACTATGTGGGCACAGGCATTAGTATTTCACTGGCATTAGTATTTCAACCCTGATAAAATATGGATTCGGGCCCAACTCAATCAAGTGCCGCCTTGGACTCGGAAATGACGTAAATTAATTTGTCATTCTATGTCCGCTTCGGCTGTGTTTGAAGTGTAGCCGTTAAGCAGCATGCAAGCTCGGTATGATTTCAATTAGGCCAATTTACTCTCAGGACACATTAAAGTCGGCAAGGAGATTTTGACAAGAAATTGATATCGATCAAGCAGGCTAAGGATAACACTAAACCAAATGTCGTGACTCCTGCGCAGAAGACTAGGTGTTACCCCATTTTTGTTGAGGAATGCGCGTATTATGGCGAAATTGTTTGGTTTCTTTAATCTCACTTACAGCGTCGTGATTATGATATAAAAGGAATAAAATAGTGTGGTGGTAAAACTATTGATAATGTTCGTTGAGTTCAGAAGTTTATGGGCAACTAATACCATAACATAATCGTCTTTTCCACACAGTAATGCGGTACATAGCTCCACAATTAACACAAATGACATTTGAAAGAAGGCCATAGGAAGTTGCCATTGTAAAACGTGCTCGATACTGGGGTTCTATTAAAACCTAATATATAAATGTAATATTTTAGCTACAAACCGACAATCCTTCAGATGTGAAAGTATGACGTGATACCCCAATCTGCTCTTAGTCCTACAATAATAGAAATATATCATTTATGTAATCTCTTTTAGAGTTGACCTGGTTAATCCTGATGTTTTAATATGATGACATATTGACTTTGACTTTACTTAAATAAAGCTGAATTCCAAGCTTAATTAGTATAACTAAAACTTTTATTAATATGAAACTGAGGCATGTAACCGAAGGAGGTCTTGGTCCCGATAAGGTCATAAGCTTCACGGAATCCATGCTCATCACACATTCAAGCATCAATATCCCTTTTTCATTCCACAGATTTTATTCACACTTTTTCTTGACCGTGCAAAACTGAAAACTGACTGGTGTCTCTCGGAGCAGACCTGCAAGACATCACATGTTCTTTATTACTTCTAGCGTTACTCTGCAAAAGCTGCGTGTGGCAACAGACTATTTATTAGTGAAAGTATACCAACAGGAATCTCACTGTCGTGACCTATTGATTTCGTATTCACGCGAAACATTTATCACATTTTGTACCTCAAGCAATTGAAAAGTATCATACAGAAAATGTATTTATCATGTAGAATAATTCATTTATCAACCTTCAAAGTCAATCATTTATCAACGAAATCATAAGTATACGTTAGCTGCGCGCACGATGTGAGCACTCACAGTTCGAGCTCGACGCTGTCCAGCGCCCAGTGGTCTGACGTCTCGGCGTGCAGTGGTTGCCACCAGCGCAGCTGAGTGCCGTACACTCGCGCCTCACGCGGCAGGCTGTACACCACACGGCGGGGCTGTTGTGTTCACCAGTAATGTTAGCTAATGAAACTCTATTTAATGTGTACAGTATTTATCAAGTTATCGCTCAATTTAAGGTGTACAGTATTTATCAAGTTATCGCTCAATTTAAGGTGTACAGTATTTATCAAGTTATCGCTCAATTTGACTCTAACCGTCACGGTCGTAATTCTTTAACCCTCTACCGCCTGACGTGAGTAACCGGAACAATATTGTCACAAGCCTACTTCCCAAAAAGGATACGTTCTAGTGAGCGCAAAATGACTTGCACTGATGGTTGCCGCCACGTACGACAACTTTAAAATGTTCTCTTTTGCGTACAAACGTACTCAGGTTGCTACACTCAATAGTTTACGTATAATTTAAGTTGAAAGTTGTGTTTCCGGAGAGTGACATACAGCGGTGGAGGGTTAACAAGTCAATCCAGGCCTAATCCTACGGCTATGAGTCGCACGATAATGTTATGTTCTTGCAACAACCGACAGAATTGAGGATATGGAAAGTGATATCATTTGAAAAAATAAAATAAAATAAAAAGAACAGATTCGCAATGATTTAATTCGCTTTCACATATCCAAGACTACATTAAGCTCCCAAAACTAAACCTACATGGGATGGTCTGATTTCAACATCTCAGCTAGGCTATAAGAAGCATGACGCCGTCACTAAAATGTGCATATTAACCAATTTAATCAAGGCATGGATTATCGAAATGTTGAATTTATATATAATGCCTGACCGAGAACCTAGGTTCACCTTGCGGTACTCGGAGGGATCGTGAACGTTAATTGTCCGCCAGATGACGCCGTTGTTGACGGAATACTGCAGCACCACACCGCGGTCCAGCGAGTTGCCTACAGCGCCAGTCCTGCTGGCATAACGATTGTTTTCGTAGCGACGATATACAGTACTGGTTCTTGTTAGGATGCATCTCTCTATTGTTCTAGAACGCTATTGTCGCGAAGAGCGAGAGTGCATGGGTACAATATTGCAAGAAATACGTTGCTGACGAATGGAACGTCAATGCATTTATGAGTATAATAATGTTATAAATACGTTGCTGGTACAACGAATGCTATCTGTTACGCTAAGTTGAATCTTTACAGTAATATTGGAGTGACGCAAACTCATAAATATGTCTAGCAGCAATTTCAGTGTTAGTCGTTGTTATCATTAAGAACAGTGGACTGCTAGTTTGAGTTTATAAACAATGACGTCAACAACAAATGATTCTACCAACGGCCTCAATTTTAATTCAAATTTTCATTAATGAATTACGAAATTTAATTTAAAATGGGAAATCAAATTATTTTGTATCATTCCCTAGAAAGTATGGTTTATTGGAATTGATAGGCATAACATTTATCAAGATAAATCCATCATTTACGCTGAACGCTAAGACATCCAACCTGTCGAAGGCGCAGGTTGGAGGTCCGTCGACGCTGCCGATTTTCAAGACAAACATGACAGCGCCAGCGCGGGTGGTGTCCAGAGGCTGGGTGATGGCACTCCGGGTGCCACACCCGCCGAAGTAAAGATGCTTGCCAGACCCGAAGGGAGCCAGGCTACTACAGCCTCCACGGCTCGTCCACCCGCCCAAAACCCGGCTCCATGAGCCGTTCAAGTTCCCTTCAAATCCCTCAACGAGAGTTTGTGGTAGAGGCTCCGTGCTACTGGACGGGCGCGGCGCACAGTTCTCGCCTGTTGAATGGGGGTTAAATTCATCCCGTTATTGAAGGGTTGCAGTGCTCACACGTGACGTATTAACCTTGATTTGACGGTCCACCAACAAAATTGCAAATCAGCAAGTAACTCAATAGAAGTTTAATAATAGCGTTATATATTATGGAGTTAAAGGCTACCTCAACTTTTGCTGCCTCACGAGTCGTCTTCTCGGCCACTAACCAGTGACCGCGAGGCCACGGCAATAACCATTGTATCCGAGGAATAGGGGCACCAAACCTTCTTCCTGGCCTTGACTAGCATAATTCTTATCCTTCAAAGTCATATCAACGATATGACGAACAATTAACTAAAGACGAAAGCACGCTATCTACCTTCAACATGAATTCAACTCGAGAAAATCGACCCCACACTCCGTTAATAACCATTGTATCCGAGGAATAGGGGCACCAAACCTTCTTCCTGGCCTTGACTAGCATAATTCTTATCCTTCAAAGTCATATCAACGATATGAAGAACAATTAACTAAAGACGAAAGCACGCTATCTACCTTCAACATGAATTCAACTCGAGAAAATCGACCCCACACTCCGTACTGACGTGCGCGAAATTTTTAAAGCGGCCTTTCGTCCCCAGCGCTAAACGTATGAAATTGAGCGATACTGCTTCAGTTTCTACGCAATTAATGACGACGCATCCGTCAAAGACCAATTGACATAAAAAAGTGATAGATCATTTTATTAAAATCAACCTACAACCAATTATTGCAACAGACCTCCCATCCTAACGCACCTTTTTCGATCGTCTATTATAGATAATCAGAGAGACTCCGACAAAAATTAAAGACGAAATATCAATGGGGTCAAGCTGTAAAGAGATACAAGACATAATCTAACTAAATGACGATACTCAGGTTATGAAAACAATCACGACGGACACTAAACACATAGCATAGCATTAAGCACATCTATGCTCAATGTTTCATGCAGATGTTCAACATCATTGTAAGCGCGACGGCTGTACCTGCCGCTCTTACTTCAGCGCCAGTCAGACAACCAAACTTTAACCGTGCAGGGAAGTGAACGTGGAGAATTTCTGACACTTTATTGGTAAGGCACTAGTGGCTACGGTAAAACGTGGTAAAGGGAACAGTGAAAACTCAAACTGAACCCAAAAGAAACTCAGAGTGAACTAGAGTGAACCAGAGTAAACCCAGCGGACGGCACCGACTGAATCTATTGTTCGTGGTAGTGAACTAATAGGATTCTGCAACAAAAATAATAAATAAACTTAGGATATGGCTATAATACTTAACTTGAAATATTCCAAACAAAATAATTACAATTCACAAATATTACAGCACAAATTTAGATCTCACAATATAACTATTCACAAATATTACGCACAAATTTACATGTCACAATCTAACCACTTTTCACAAAAAAATTCACCAACAGTGAAGCGCAAAGTGCTTCACGACTAACATAATGAAAGTGACGCGCTTCGGATGATCAGGGTGAACAGACTTTTTCTCTAAATGAAAATGCTAGTAAAGATCGAAAGACAAAAACATTAATGAAAGAATGAGTACAAATTTAAGACCATAAATATAAGAAATAACTGTTTCAATGATCGCCAAAAAAATGACAAGGAAAATCGCGGTACAAAAATTAGAGACGCATGAGGCGCGGCTACATCATTATTACCTCCACTTAGTGCGAAAAAGAAAAATGACTTCTCAGCTTCTTTGCTCCATGTGCAACATATATACATGAAAACTAGCACATTCAAAACCGACCGCCACACAATCCTGTTCTGAGTGCGCATCCCTCCACCTACTGCACAATGCAGCACGCAAAATGCCTTCATTGCTAACAAGAGCACGGGACTCTTACTGCCGACCGAATATACAGGAATAAAATCATAACTAGAACGCAAAAAACAACTCGTGATTGAAGAAACACACAACACAACAAAAATATGCAGACACAGCTAAACATGCGTTAATACAATCCAGCTTCCAAAACCTCACGCAGCCGAAACTTAAAACTTTTTCCAGAACCATGACGTTAACAAATTCGAGGTAGACAGCAACGTCTTCGACCTTCGAACAATATTAATTGATGACGACGAGAAGAGACGATCATCACTGACACGAACCAAACTGATGACGAAAAACCTAAGAAGGACCTTTAATAAAGAATCATTAAACTCCATATCCGGACACAACGAAACCATTCACATTTAAGTATTTTGGAGCTCCAATGACCACAATCGAATTCTCCCGGACCCTCACAGCGTTTGATTCACCAACGTAATGGGAAAAAATTACTGCGAACTGAAGCTCTCGATGAAAGACTTAGACTCTTCCATAATATTTTACTATTTGAGACGTGAAAGACACACCACAACTCCATAATATTTTTTAGTTGTAATATTTTACCTCCTGTAGATGTGAAAGATACACCACAACTCCATAATATTATTGAGTTGTGATATTTTACCTCCTGTAGACGTGAGACACACCACAACAACATAATATTTTTTAGTTGTAATATTTTACCTCCTGTAGACGTGAAAGACACACCACAACTCCATAATATTATTGAGTTGTGATACTTTACGTCCTGTTGACGTGATAGACACACTACAACTCCATAATATTATTGAGCTGTGATATTTTACCTCCGCATTGAGTTTATTGCATTTATTTTTACCCGAATCCAGATGCGGTACATAGTATAATAGTCGAGGTGATATATACATATCTACAGACACACCACAACAACTACTGTCATGACTGCTGCTCTGGGAACACATCTGTCTCTATAGGCCATAACCTATGAGCTGGCAACAAAGGAAGGGTTCTTATAAGTCCTCCACTTTTATTATGTCAACACTTGATTTTATTTTCTATCTCGCGTTATTTATCTTGTAGTAGACGGAGCTTGTACAGCTCTTTATATTTTATACGGAATAAAAGTCTTTGGACTGCTTGCTTTTACAACAATATTAACTTTAATTCTCTCGCGCTTCATAATAATCTTCCTTTGATTTGAGTTGAATGTGAGTTGTAGCTTTGCCCACATCAGCGCGTCATTTAGCTTATAACAAACACGCAAATACGACAGTATTTGCAACTATCAATAAAAAAATAAGAAAATATGAGTTTTTAAAACGGTTCAGTTTAGCAAATATTGCAACCATGTCTCATAATGTCTCACTCATGAAGCAACAACGTTTGTTGCTGTAGCAACGGTAATATTCAGGCGCAACAGAAAATTCCGAATATAAAAAAAATAAGGACAAGATAATGCTGAAAGTTCGTTTGAAACAATATTAGTCTAAGGACCCAGAAAAAATAACAAACTTTGATGAATTTTTAAACAGTATTGGCCTAAGGACCCAGAAAAAATAACTAACTTTGATGAATTTTTAAACAATATTGGTCTAAGGACCCATAAAAATAACAAACTTTGATGAATTTTAAACAATATTAGGCAAAGGACCCAGAAAAAATGACAAACTTTGATGAATTTTTAAACAATATTAGTCAAAGGACCCAGAAAAGTTAAAAATTTTTATGCGTTTTAATAAGTAAACAGTACCGTAATATCCCGGATCACAGTGACACCGTCCCTGCAGGCAGTCCCCTCTGCCGTGACAGTGGTCGGGACAGTCCTGCCCGACAGACACAGACGACAGCGACCACGGCAGGGGACGGGGGGACGGCGACTGAACCCACCGCAGCTGTGTTGTACTGAGCGCATATAAACTTTAAGCTTGCATTGCGCTCGAAAATATCAAAATAATTAGTCATTTTCTATACAATTCTCCACCAGTATTAGGTTCGTGTATATCAGTTTCGTGACAGAGAGCTCTGAAGAAATCTCCCGTTGATTTAGGAATAATTTGCCTCAACCGACGACCGAAGTCGTCAACCGAAGGTTCAGTAAACACTTAACGTAAATAAGTCTTCAGCAAAATGTTCTATAAACGGTCGACAAACAGAGTGCAAAAGAAGGTTTAGTGAACGGTCAACACATTAAAGTCTTCAACAAAAGGTTCATTTAACAGTTTACTTGTCTACGTTGTTAACAAAAGGTTCAGCAAAGTGTTAACATAACCAACCTGGACCAAGTTTTCTCCGGCAGAAGCATGGTGACGCGGGTCCAGGTCTGGTACACGTCCGGCTGGTACGCGGAAGGCCCGTGGTATTCGTACGGAAGGCAGTCGGTGTCTTGTGACCAAGACGGCAGGCAGAATTCAGACACTAAACTCCACGGCGTCGCACCGCCATCTTTGGAATACTCCAGGAAGACGCTGGGCGTTTCTGACGGACATTCAACTTTCGCGTCGCATCCAATTGAGATCTATGAGGGATAAAATACAACCATTGATGAAACAATGTTGATGAAACGGATACAACTTTTTAGTCACAGTAGATTTATAACGAGAAGACTGATAACGTAGATTGAGATATGTACACATACCATGACTTCTAATGAGAAGATTTTTGAAGAAGTATAGAAATCTAATTAAAGACTCAGAGTGCATTGAAGGTCGGAAATGCTCTACCTATAATGAGATCTATTCCATAAGCTGCATTTGTTTACTTATGAAATTGTTATACTTTGAACTGGAGGAGTGTGTGGTGAGTGACGATGAGCTCCTGCGTGGTGATGGCGCGGGTGCCGGGCTTGTGGTGAGGCCAAGTGAGGGAGGTTGCGTTGCTGTCTTCGTGACAATACCCCGAGCTGGTGGTGCTGTGTGGGGCGAACAGCCACTGCGACACCTGCACCAAGAAATTTACACCTTCGCTATGCTGACGAACACAAAAAATTACATCTATGACCTAATATTGCAGAACGAAATATTTATAACCTGATATTGCTGCACGAAACGTTGCTGAACTAATATATAGAACTGTAGGGAACCTGAGGCTCGTCTCTGAAGTCGTCGATGAGCTGCGCATGGGCGATCTCGGAGCCTCCGATGAATACGTCGTCCAGCGACCACGCGGGGGCGGGGGGCGCCTGACGTGGCTGCCAGAACCTGGCCAGACATGCACGATGTCATCACAAGAGGTGAGGTGAAACTGGGATAAACTTAAGAATTGAGCTGATATTTACAGCAAAACTTGAAACTTTGGCTGATATCTACAGCAAAACAACTTTGGCTGATATCTACAGCAAAACTTGAAACTTTGGCCGATATTTACAGTAGAACTTGAAACTTTGGCCGATATCTACAGCAAAATTTGAAAGTCTAGCTGATATATATAATAAAATTTGAAAATTTGGTTAATATGTAGAACAAATCATGAAAATGTAGCAATATCTTAAACGAAATTACATACTTTATTTTGCTAAAATCCAGAACAAAACTCGAAACTTCATCTGATATATACAAACAAAACTTTAGAGTTAAGTCACTAAGACAATAATTTTTGCTATTCCAAAACTCGGAAGTTTAGCCGAAACATGTGCACGAATGCTGCATGAAAAGAGCGCACATAGAGACACAAAGCTATGCTATGTTTTCAGCGAGATCGAGGGAAGTGGATCTGGCTCTGGTAATAGAAGATGAATTTATAAGAGATGGACACGATGGGCGGCGAGAGGAGAGCTTACCTGAAGAGAGTGGCAGGTGAACGGGAGTTGGAGGGCAGGAGGACATAGTCTTCACGAGGAGTGCCGTAGAGTTCATGGTCAAGCTCACGGAGCAGCTGCCAGTTGATGCCTGGTCATGAAATGGGACAAGTAATACACATTTAGTACGTTTAGATTATAAAAACTGTCAATGATTCCTGTTACAATTTCTATTTTATGAGTAGCATCTCTATTACTCTCAAGTTCTACGCACTCGCAACTTGTAAAATTCTACTACCATTTGCAATAGTCAATGATAGCACAATAAGAAACTCATACTTGCATATGATACAAATTATTTTCACTTCCACTTCGATCTCGGAAAAGAGTTTCAGAAATGAAAAAAGATTTGATCTCGCAACCCATCAAGACCCACCGCCGTCCACGGAGTACTGCAGGTAGACGTTGTGCAGTCGTGCGGAAGGCTTCCGGCAGACGTCGGTGCTTTGGGAGACCTCATTTTCAAGAAGGGTAGTGGATGCTTTTTGGCTACCTTTTTGTCCTCCAATAACGGCCGTGAAGAGGACAAACTTGGCGGCACGGGTGTCCACGGGCACCGTCGTGATGCTCCTGGTGTGGCGGCCTTCCATGGAGACGGCCGGGGGCTCCTCTATGACGTCCCCGCAGCCCCCCGAGTGCAGGCCTCCCTGGACGTGGGCCCAATGTGGCGCAAACGCGGGGCCCGGAAATGTGTCCCTGATGTATGGCTGCGCGCCAGTCACGGTTCCGGCAATAAATAATGGCAAGCTCAGTTTGAGCTCATTATTATTCCGCCCGTATATGTCAAAACTTTAATCCTTTAAACTGTTAGAAAAATTTATTATTTTCCTAAAGAAATGAAAAAAATGAGGATCCGCAAAGAAATATCCTGTCCCTTGCCCATGGAAAAAAACCTGCCAAGTTGAAGAAGGGAAAAACTTGAGAAGAAACACCTTGGATTCTTCACAAGAAAGAAGAAGAAACGGGGTTTCTTCTCAAGGAAAACTTGAGAGAAAAAAATCCGCTCCTGATTTGTCGAGAAGTTTTCATCAACGAACCAGACTTCATCATGGAGGTGATAGTCCTACTACGGAGCGAAGTTAATAAGATGTCTACCAACACACAGTGTGCATTAATGATACTCACGACATTGTCCTGCAGCAGGTACTGGCAGTGCAGACCAGTATACTGGGAGTCGCAGTAACATAAGGCACCCATGCAGTAGCCTCTGCCGAGGCAGTTTTGGAGGCAGGCGTTGCCGATGTAGACACGACGCAGTGACCACTCGTGTGAACCGCTCTGATCAGACGTCGGTTCTTGTATCCATCGGAACCGGACGTACCTGGCCAGCGAAATTAACGATTGATTCACGAATATTGAAGGCATGAACCATATCTCATGCCATTAATTTAGTTTTCCAATTTCTAGATAATGAACTGTTCGTGACCTTTACATCAAATGAACATGTAGCAAAGGTCCGTATCTTCAAAAAACGTCTAGAATAGTTCTATATCTTTGTAAAACGTCTAGATTAGTTCCATATCTTTGTAGAACGTCTAGAACAGTTCTATATCTTTATAGAACGTCAAAAATAGTTCTATATCTTTGTAGAACGTCTAATTAGCTCTATATCTTTGTAGAACGTTTGGCAATGAAAGGCGAGAGCGGCGATTCGGCCGAGTAGCCAAGTGGACTTACCGGGAGGTGAATGTAAACTGTAGAATAATTCTATTCTACAGTTCATGTAAAATGCTTTGTTGAGGTAGCGACATTGTTCATGTGAAATACTTTGATGTTGTAACAACATTGTTCACGTAAAACGCTTTGTTGTTGTAACGACATTGTTCATGTAAAAAGCAGTGTTGCTGTAACGACATTGTTCATGTAAAATGCTGTGATGTTGTAACGACAGTGTTAATGTAAAAAAATGTTTTTCTAATTAAAGTGTTAATGTAAAGGGCAGTCTTCCTGTAACGACCGAGTTAATTTAAAAGCCAATTAAATATTAATTATTTGTCATGCAGTCTAGGGCGACGTCGCACTTGGCAGGCCCGACGTTGTCGAGCAAGTACACGACTCGTGTCCAGGGCAGCGGGCCGTAAAATATGGACGAGTCGTCGAGCTGCTGACAGCTGGGGTCCCCAGGCAAGCAGGTGTCTCGTACCAGAGACCAGCTGTAGCCGTGATCTAGGGAATATTCCACCCTGCAAATGCCAGAGAAAATACAATCCAAATAACGTCATACAAGAACAACATCTGCTATTGTCTTGTACATGAAAGACATGCCTGTTCTATATTGCATCCACACAAGGAAGACATCTTCATGTGCAGCGTAGTTATGAGTTCATCGCCCACTTTTTCATCTCCCCTTAAATAAGATATTAACAGGTCAGACCGGCGTTACCCGAGCTTGAGGCCTTGATAACTGGGCAGGGTGGCCCAGTGGTTACAGTTCAGAGTACCAAGATTGGAGCAGAGAGGTGCGGGTTCGATCCCAGCTCTGTGCGCCAGTTTCTGGTCAAAATCGGCAACGAGGCCGGGCGGTTAAGCAAGTAAAATTGATGCAGTAAGTTGGGCATTCGAGACCGCAACAAGCTGTGAATATTCTGCGATGTTAAGAATCGGCGACAGGCCCACGGCCTAATGAACGCTGAAACCGATATTATTATATTATTATAACTCCTGTGATTCGGAAATCCTGTTATCCCAAATCCCCAATTTTCGTAATCCTGGTAATAGTAAAAAATGTTAATGTATTATACATAAATTAAGACCTTTTCTAAACGAATAAACTCTCATTTTAATTTTATTTCAAAGTCTTTAAAAAACTATATTGACTCCTTCAAATTGCGATAGGATTGACCAATTGTAACATCAAATAGAAATTTTTGATCCTATTCTTTTTTATTCTCCCACTTATTCTCCCCTATACTGTATATTTAGTGCCAGGCATACAACACAAGCAGACAATCACAAACTTTAGCAAAAATAGCATTAGATGCACAAGAGAAAACAACCGCATTCAATGGATTATCTATTACAAGAACCCAAAAGTAAGAAGCCTAATATCAAGAAACAACACAGGACCAAGACCGTCCTCATTGAAGCAGTCTAAAGTCATATACAAATATACTGCAGCCGGGGACTGCGATCTCCGCAACCGTTTGTGCTTGAAACGTGCTTGAACAAAGGGCTCCTTCTTAATTACACTAATATATACAAGGGCTAGACAAAATATGAGAAACAGCTGAGAAATCCACAAAACATATTTTAGTATGGTGTAGACCCACCACTTGCGGTAATTACAGCCTCAATTCTCCGAGGTATTGATTCATACAAATCGTGAATTGTGTCACAGTTATTTTAACCTATTCTTTTGGTAAAATTCCCTCCAGCTCTTCTAAAGGCGATAGCGGCGGGAATGGACTCTGACTTCTTGGCGGCGGGAATCGACTTAGAGATCAGAAGTCTGACGATGGCGGCGAGAATCGACTTCTGATCTCTAAAATCTGCCATAAATGCTCGATAATATTTAGGTCTGATGATTGTCGTGGCCGAATGTGATGCTCGACCTTGTGCCATTCTAATTCCAGCTGCATGGATCGGGGTAGTGTCATTTTGAAAGATGGCGTTCCCATCCGGAATCAGTGCTTGAACCATTAGATCTCTGCCGCCAGTCAGGCGGGAAAATTCCTAATTAGTCACGTCTGTTGATTCTTTCCATTTTCCAATCATTGGTCCGCCGGATTTTCAAGAAATAGCACTCCAGATCATCACAGATCCCCGCCATGTTTTACGGTTGGGAGGAGGCAGTCGGGATTAAATTACTCTTTTGGCTGTCTTTCAACGTAAACTCGGCCAGAGGTTGGAAATAAAGTAAACGATTATTCGTCAGAGAAAATCACAATTTTCCACTGATCGAGGGACCAATTCTGGAGGTTTTTACACCACTCTAAATGCTTTGAAGCATTTGTATATGAAACCAGAGGTTTTCTAAGTGCAACTCTTTTATAGAATCCAATTTTGTGCAGCTCTCGGCGGACATGGCGGTAACTGGGTTCTGTAGGTGTTCATTGAGGTCTGCAGTAATTTAAACAGTCGTAGTCTTTCGATTGTCCCTCACAATTCGATTTAGGTACCGACGGTCCTTCTCAGACAACTTTGACTTATGGCCCGACCAGTTCTTTACTAAGGAATTTTTTCCTTCTCTTTCAAATGCAGTCATTACTTCTGAGACAGTACCTCTAGAAACGTCATGTATTTGGGAAGTTTCTGCCATACTAGTACCCGCCACACGGGCACCAACAATTTGGCCTCTTTGAAAGCTAGAAAGGTTTTCCATTTATAGGTTATCGGTTAGGTAATAGACACAAAAATTTACTAGAAATTTCTGGGCAATGATAAAATATCATTTATCAGCAACAAAAAACAATAAAAAATGAAAACATGTCACGTTTTCATTGTTTATAACATGATCAAAATTTACGATGTCAAAATGTTTGATGTTTCCCTTTTTATATCGAAATCCAATTCCTGACAGGCGGCAGTGAGCGGTCCTAAGAGACAACTCGCCTGACANACTTGAACCTGACACGGGACACTTGGGCATGACACGGGACACTTGAACCTGACACGGGACACTTGGACACGGCACAGGACACTTGAACCTGACACGGGACACTTGGGCGTGACACGGGACACTTGGGCGTGACACGGGACACTTGTGCGTGATACGGGAAACTTGTGCGTAACACGGGACACTTGAGCGTGACACGGGACACTTGGGCGTGACACAGGACACTTGGACATAATACAGTACACTTGTCACTTGACTAAAATCATCGATACGTTTTTTTATGAAATGATTCACAGCAGGAAAATCAAAGTTTGACGGAAGTTACAAAAATCAATATTGATACGGAAAATGATAATGTTTAAACAAGGCTGAATAAATATACCATCACTTTTGCACTCAAAGATTTGGTTTTATTTGTTAGATATCAAGCACATCGTCATCACCAGATTTCACTTGAAAATAATGCATCCGTAATTACATAGTTTGCCTAATCGCAAATTATTAACTTAACTAAAAAGAGCATGTAAATTCACAGTATCGGACCATGTTTCGGTGACCAGCTGCGGAATTTGAATGATCATCTTCAGTACTAATGTGGGAAAAATTTCCTAGGTAGGCTAGGTCTGCTCGACTCTAAATTTGTGTCGCTATTTGTGGCTGGCGACTGCACTATTTGGTAAAAGGCAATTTATTTATCTTGAATATTTGTTTTTTTGTCATTGAATATTTCTAGTGGAATATCGACTTACTAAACGCAATTGTATCGTGATTCTACTAGTGGTACTTTTTTGTGTATCTAAGATTTCTTAATTTGTTTCGGAAACAGTTTGCGGGATGTTGAATAAAATGTAGAATTTTGTACAAGTATTTGACATCCTGCGACGCGTTATTTTACAGTGATGGAATTTTAATATGAAAGGCGATAAATAAATTATTGCTACGGATGATGTCGTCCAGATTTTCCCACCAGATTTTCACTTTATGACCAAAAATAAACTAGCCAGATTTAAAGGCTTAGTAATGTTATAACCTGTCATAAATTTAAAACGATGAGGGTTAAGCTATGCCAAGATTAACTGATATCGAAATATGAACCACTATATAGTTAGCCCACAATCTTCATGTCGCTCTCGGACACAGGAACGTTGCTAGTAGCGCATGAGGGTAGGGTAGCCTATAAAGTTGAGTGTTTGATCCCCTAGGCGTTGCAAGTCTGCCGCTAAGTCTGCAGCCACATACAACAGCGTATTATCTTCATGTATTTGCAACCCTAACCCGACTCATCCAAATAAACCTAACCGTACCTAACCTCATTGACTGCATCAAGGTAGAGAGGTGGGGCAAGTGGGGCAGGCGACGGTCATTGGCTGCAGCAAGGTTAAGAGTCGGTGTAAAAGTGGAGGTTAGGCCATGCTGGGATTGAAATATTTCAACACCAGGCTGAATTGATTAGTGACTGCGGACACACGGCGCTATGCCATTAAGCCATTTTGAGCTAGTGCGGCATGCGGTGTTGCTAGCATGGTCGGCGACTTGGTAGTTCTGAGGCTAAGTGTAGCTGTGCCTTTTTAGGCTGAACGTTGACTCTGGGGCTAATTGGTACTCAAACTTAGGGCCAACGGCTGCATTCTTCTTATGAAAAGGGACGTAAAGAAGCTGGTTTGGGCACATCCTTTATTGGTTTGTTCGTTTCTATTAAAATTGGCAATGATTCAACCATAAATACCCGGTGGTTATGAAAATTGTTTCTACCATCCACGCAATGCCATAAAATTTTCAATATATTTATATATTTGAATATGTTACATTTGGAACGGTTGCCTTCGAATTTCGTCATAACGCAAGCAAAAGAGGTTATAGAGGTTTTAAGCAAAACGGTTATTTGTTGTATGGTTTATAGAATATATATGTGTTGTAAATTTACTAATGTTGAGAATTGGAATTGTAAAGAATTTTTAGAGAGTGTTGACGGACGTAGAGATTATATTATTGGGTTACGGCTAGTACTGGATCTGTGTGAACATAGGTTTGAGGATGCCGTCAGGTGTTGTGTGACAGCGAGATCAATTTGTGCCCGGTCCTTAACATGTGTCTCAGAAATGATCCGTGTTACCTTTTTAATTACATGAGATCACTCAGGGGATGCATATAAAGTAAAAATTTTTACATGACCGTTGGTTTTTATCTCTAGATGGGAACCTGCAGGCGTTCACATACCCATGACAAGGGAAATGTCGAACCTTTTTGTAAATTGTTGTTACGGTTAGCAGCAGGAAAATAATAAATTGATCCTTGCCGCTCCTCTGGCTCCACATCGTTAACTATATCGACAATTTTGAAGTTTATATTAATGGAATATCTTACGAGTGTTAACGTGCATGTATTAATGGAACAATTATAGAAAAATTCAGTCCTTTTTCAGGTATAAGGATGTTATTTCTTCCCGAATTCAGTTCTCTCTGAATTACGAGTCCAACTGTGTTCAGTGCACATCAGTTTACGTCGGTATAACGTCACGTAACTTCTACATCAGACTTGCCGAACACCGTGACATGAGCTATCATTCTAGATTCCTGCTTGGTCACCTGCCTCTTCCAGCTGCGCATCTGCTCAGTGCACACCGAACAAGACGACTTTTTTGTGTCCATGAGCGGTTGTCAGATTTTATAGACTCCTCCTCTAGCTGATGACTCATATATAGGATATAGGAATCGTAAAATTCCAGCATATTGTAAAAGTTAAACTTTATGTTGTATACTCTAATACCTTTTCTGTTTAGAATAGTTTATCGATTGGTTTTGACGTGATCGAGCCTACTTATCTGTCAATTTAGACATTAGTATCGTCCGTGCAAATTTGATCGATCTGTTATATTTGTATTGTTGAAGTTTTGAACTGATATTGGAGCTGGTCTCCGAAACTTTTCCACATCAGTTTCGTATCAAGCACACTGGCGGCATCTCGAACGTGATTTATCTTACAATTCGTTACAGCTGTTGCGCACCTAGCACATCGCCATCACCACACACTGGTATTGAATGAGATTTTGAAGCTTTCACGATCACCAACAAGATTTATTATAGATTTCTGCTTTGCCATCATGAACAATACTCACACAAAGTCCAGCACACATGTCCAGGTAACACATCACACACGTTCAGAACACACACCACTCATGTCCAACACACAGTCAATCCTTCATGTGCTGTGTGGACTCGACATGCGACCTCTTGCAATAAGGCAAGTCATTGTATATCCATCGTCACCATTTCTTTGACTCCGAGACACAGTTTCCCCTGTAATTGTTAAAATGACTAGCTCAGATCAATTACTCACCCTGATGTCTGAAGTCTGAGCAACGGCGGCCTCCGCCACCCCAGACTTGGCGGTCAGACTCTCATCAGTGCTGCTGCAGTAGCGGCCTGGGAGGGGGTGACTCATCGTTAGGAGTCCAGTGATAGAACGAACACATACAACAGCGGTCCAGCGACACAACGAGCACATACAACAGCGGTCCAGCGACACAACAAACACATACAACAGCGGTCCAGCGACACAACAAACACATACAACAGCGGTCCAGCGACACAACAAAAAATATACTTCTGATAACCTTGAGGCCGTACATGATGATACATCATGATCCACCTCTGCTACATTGTACATCATGATCCACCTCTGCTACATTGTACATCATGATCCACCTCTGGCAACATTGTACATCAATATCCACCTCTGGCTACATTGTACATCATGATCCACCTCTGGCTACATTGTACATCATGATCCACATCTGGCTACATTGTACATCATGATCCACCTCTGCTACATTGTACATCATGATCCACCTCTGGCTACATTGTACATCATGATCCACCCTGGCGCCCTGAAGTCGTCCACGGTGGGGGCGTCGAGAGCAGAGGGGGGGTTGGACCGCCGCCCCCCGATCACCACAGAGTCCAGGGCCCAGTCTGGTCGCGGCAGGCGAGACTGCGCAAGAAGCGGGTTACTGCACGAGGATATGCAGACGCATCTTCACAGGTAAGGAGAGGCATGACAGGCCCTGGGTAACTCATGGCCTAGGTAACACAGGCTCTGGGTAATACAGGACCTGAGTAACTCAGAGCCTAGGCAAAACAGGCTCTGGGTAATACAGGGCCTTGGTAACTCAGGGCATAGGTAAAACGGCTTTGGTTAATACAGGACCTGGTTTACTTAGGACCATAGGTAACTCAGGACCTAAGTAACTCAAGACCTGGGTAACTGAGGACACAGGGCTTGGGCAACACAGGTACATGGTAACAGAATACTTGTGTAAGCCAGGCTTCAGTAACACAGGACTTGGGTTACATATGGCTTATAGGACAGAGGTAAGTTAGGCCTAAGCAACAGCAAACTTAAGTAACACAGGACATGGGTTGATTCATTTTCAATGTATTACGCCATACATCTTATTAACCACGAGAGCTGAAAACATTTCAATGAACTCACAAAAATAAATGAAATCACAACATTTATTTCATGGGTTCTCACTTGGCGGCCAGACGCGATGCCCAGACCGTTCACCTGCCACCAGCGGACGCGGCCGCCGTTGCAGTGAAGACCTTCCGGAATTTCCAGCCACACATACCTGAGAAGAAGGAATGGCAAGAATAAGTGAGGAAATTGAAACAAATATTAATATTGAAACAAAGCAAATACGAAAAAAAGTAATTTGTTGAGCTGAAGTGTTATTAAATAATTTTGCTGATGATTTCTTCCCTAACACATTTTATTTTGGAGAAATAAATGAAAGCCAAATGAATGATTTAGTTCTGGATCTATTATTATGCGGCGGATGCGTGTAGTAATTTTTTAAATGAAGAATGATGCAGACACAAATGCTGACACAAAGAGCACTCGGACCTCTCAATGCGGGCAACAAGACTAAATCTCTCCAGAATGTCATTTCCCTCTTTCATCAGCAAAGCAGCATCTATCCACCAACTTCGGTGACGTGAAGTGTCTCAATGCAAGCGCTTTGACTGTGGTCCACGTCATGCCGCCATCACACGTCATCTGCACCAGGATCTGAGAGTCGTTGTTGAATACCGGCACCGCCTCCTCGGTGTCAGGCGAACTAAGGCGTCGGGGGTCGACCGCTCTGCGCTGCTCACTCACAATTGACCGCCGTGACCGAGAACGCGTTCGAATGAACTCCGAGTTCACAGAATTCGAAGTTAAAGTTTCCAAGTCTGGTTCTTCATATGTTCCGATGTTGTCATCAAACGATCTAAAAGGTCTTTGGTTATAGAAGTCGGACGATCGAGAAGGTCTTTGGTCGTATAAGTCCTGGGTCTTTGGTTGTGCACGGGATGAGCGCTGCTGCGCATACTCTTGGTTGTACAGCGAACTGTGGGCGCCGCATGAGGAAGTTACGAGGAACTGTACGTAGTGGGCGTCTTGCAGGTTCAGGTCCGTAGTTTCTAAGTAGCGACTGCACGACTGCAAACAAAATAATAATCAATACGAAAGATACAATAAATTATTCAAGATAAACAACGCTACCAAGAAATTGAAAAATAATAAAAAAGTATCAGGTATCATCCTAACTTAAAATTGAAATTTAGGATGTAAAGTAATGCAGTGTAAATGTTAATTTGATTTCAAAAATTATTTCCAGAATGAAGCTTGTACAAAATTGCTGCGCAATTTAGGAATTTGTTACCAATTAAATCAAGATGTAAAAATTAGAGTTCCAAATTCAATTCACTCCAGTACCGTGACTACACCATTTTCCATACTGTTGTAGTCACTCTGCATTAGGCTATGTCGAACTGCCGGCCAGTAGATCTTTAGCCGCAGCACTCTGCAGACCTGACCACTCGGTCGCACTTGCCTTCAGCTTTTCGCACGTCAGCACAGCAGTTTTGACATGGGCCTACTTACATTCTTCACACTCTCATTCACGCTTTTTCGTGCCTTGCTCAATTGCTTTATCCAAGCGCGCCTTGCTTTATCCGAACTATTTGCCACGTACGGGGAACGGAGAAGAGCGCCACGTTGCCAACAGCTCATGGCGCTTTCTAGCTGCTTAGTTTGGCGGTTAGCCCTGGGTGATCCGTAAATCGTCCACGGCGGGGATCCGTGAATCTTTGCACTGAAAGCCTTTGAGGTGAGATCACGGCACTACTCCAGGAATGCACTTGCTAACATTCAGTATGGAACTATTTTCCGATCCTCTGAGCACCTTCCTATAAATAAAATACTCCAACGTCTTAAATAATTAGACACTATTCAATTTGGAATTCAAATTTAAATAATCTATTGCGAATCTAAATTGCTTTCTATTAAATCTGTACTGTCTTCTTAATTCTATACTTTCATGTCAACAGACTTGCAGTTGCGCTGGAGTAGAAGATGCCAGGAAGAAGTCAGGGTCGGAAGTCTTTAAAGTCAGTTTCAAGATGAATGAATAGTGATTTAATAAAATTAGTTCATACCTTGCCTCTAGTCTATTTTCCTCAATTTTAGCGCAAAACTCAATTGACACTCCCCTATGCCCTGATGTAAAATTACTGATGCCCTAGTAATCTTCAACGACATCATTATCCTTTAGTGGACACACCGGTGCCTTTATTTTAACTTAGGACTGAGCGCATATGCGCCACGATAACGACACTCCAAGATAACTTAATTGGGGTGTTGGAATTAGCAATCCTATCTATTTTGCTTCTTCATAGATGACAGAGCCATTAGTTGGAGAATTTATGGCAGATTTTGGGGTGTGAAAATGTACATCCTTCGCCCTTCTTTCCGTATTTACATTTCTTTCAATATAATTTCCTGCAAATACCTTTCCTAAGAGGTGGCCTGCCATAAGTTTATATCAACATCTTTGGAGGATAGAAAGGTCGGAAATGATGACGGCAAAACTTACTCCAGATCCTCAACCGTGGGGACATGAGCAGTAGCAACGTGAGCGTCAGAGGTAGGAGCAAGAGAGACGTTAGGGTTAAGGGGTGTTATGGGGATGGACGTCGTACTGAGAGTCAGATTACGGGTGAGGGTGGGAGTAAGACTAAGTAAGGTGAGGGGTAAGATTGCTAGGAGCAGAAGGAGTGGTGGGTGTGAAGACGTGGAAGGGAATGATGTGTAGCGCTAAGGGGTAATGGTGGGTATAGCGCTAGAGGGAATGGTGGGTGTGTAGCGCTAAAGGGAAGGGAAAATGAGGTAGCCGCACTGGGTCGTAGAAGGCTGCAGGCTAAATATGGACGACTGCCAGAAGCTCTGTTTTGCTAACAGTGAATTCATCTCCACATACATGCAGCACACGGTGTTTACATTAATATTAAACCCTAGTTTGACCAAGTTTTACGAGGTGGTGTGGAGACCACCGATATTTGTTATTCATTTTCTTGTTCATTTTTCCTCAAATAGTTAGCAGTCAGCCAACCATACAAACTTCTTATACATTGACTTTCTTTCTTGGTTAGATAAGTTACCAGTCACTTCACTTCAGCCTTGCCCGCCAACGTTTGGGTAAGACCTTAAATATCTCGTATTATATTCATACTATTTGTAATATTTGCTTGAATAATATTCTTCATTCAATTATGTAAATCATGTTATGCAATTAGCCTTATAACAGTTCGTTTATTAATCAGGTGCAAAATTTACCTCACTCACAAAAACACTGTTCATGCCATCCGCTGGTTAATTACTCATAGGTTTCCCTGTTTGCACTTCGCTTAGCTTATAGCGGTACCGGTATACCCGCTATAGTGGTACATTCAAAGATCCGTGTACGGCAGATGAAGGAACAACCGTCATTTATTTTATTGATGGACATATGAAGTATTGCATACTTTTTGCAGATTGAACACGAACGATTATACACGAACGTCACCCCACGCACCCCGAACACCCACCACCACGCGTACATCCCTCAACCTGCACCCCGCACGCCCTGCGTACCCCACTCCTGACGTACCCCCGTAAAATGCAGCACATCATCGGCCCCGCCAGCATCGCATTCGGAAGATACCGTCGCTCCCGCCACCCGCCGCCAGTTGCTCGCCGTCAAGCCACCGTCGAACTCCTCCGACAGAAACGTCGGTAAAGCGACAGTGGGGCTGGCACATGTGGAGCCTGTAGGAAACAAGGGTTACTCGTTGGGGGACTCCTTTCTCATTAGGCGTTAAGCTTTGTTACTCATTAGGGGGATCTTGACTCGCTAGAAGCTTGTTACTCGTTGCAGGGGGTTTGTTACTCGTTACAAAAAGCTCGTTACGCGTTAAGGAAGTCGCGGAAGGAAGGGATGCCTCCCTTTCACGGATCAGCTGCACCAACTAGGTCTCAGCACGGCAAGCAATTCTACTGCAGCTGGGCAACTCCCTTCCTAAGTTGGTACTACCAGGACACACACACGCCTGGTGGGGGCGAATGGTCTGAAGATCCTCCCTTCGAAGCACTTAGGCCCAAGAGGCATTCAATTTCACACATACCTTTTCGACATCTCTGTCTACACCGTCTTCATACCAAACAACTTGAATAACAGGCAGACCCTTCAACAACAAAGCCAGCCCCTTCGCAGAACTATCGCCTCCCGCACCGCGGAGACCGCCGTGAACAACAAGGTCCTGACCAGCCCTCCTCATACAATGGACTCCGAGGAAGAATTGCTCCCACGCCCCTATCGCTCTACACAGGCTCCGCTTAGTCAGCTTCAGTCTGGCTGACGCTGACTGGATTGGCTGAACAGTATTGGCTGAAGAGTATTGGCTGAACAGGATTGGCCGATTAAATGCCCTCCAAACATCATATGAACAGTTTACTTTATGGTTCACCTTAGAAATTTAAGTAAATTTACGAGTAATATGCTTTGGTCCATTACTTCGCACGGAAGTAATGGACCTTTGGAAGGCATTACTTCCCACGGTGCCTCATGGTAAGAGCATTATAACTTATAACTTGTATTGCTTAAACATCATCCCTCCCCAACAGGTAGGGTTTCATCCCTCTCCAACAGGTAGGGTATCATCCCTCTCCAACAGGTAGGGTATCATCCCTCCCCAACAGGTAGGGTATCATCCCTCCCCAACAGGTAGGGTATCATCCCTCCCCAACAGGTCCAGGGTATCCTCTTCCACCTGAATGTAGTGCAAATAAATCAGAGTATCATCGAGGATCATTACTCAGATCCCTTCTTTAAAGCTCGTAGTCAGACTGCGGCGAAGTCTGAGAACGAAGTATTAGCGACAACGTTGTGAAATCCTTGTTCTGTCCTTAGCTCGGCCAGTTTCTACTCATGAGATTGTAGTCTGTGTAATATATGATATCCGAGCCAGCCCCCTTTTTGGGGCAATGGGCGGCTATCAGGTGGACGAGTAATGGCCAGCGCTCGGCTAGAATTAATTGGTCTCGGCCGATCACTGGTCACGTATTATTCCTCGCCCTTCATTGAGTTCCCCTTCTCCGTACCGCCCGTCGTGGAGACCGCCGAGAACAACAAGGACCTGGCCACCCCTCTTTTATGACGTTTGTTTCCTCTCAAACTTTCCTCAACGCCTAGTCAATATACGGGATTTTCATTTCACGTAGGAGCATGCTCGTTCATAAATAGTTTTTTGGAGGTAATATCTACAACAAAAAGGCTGATCAAGAAATGCCGAGCATACCATTCAGTGGAGAATAAAAATTATAACCCGTTGACATCTCGAAAAAAGTGTAGAAGTCGCAGACTTGATGAACATTATTATTAAAAATTTCTTGAAATTACCTTCATCACAACTCGTTTAATACAAGGTTTACATATTTTTTATTACTGTCCACCTTTTGTAAATAAATAGCTGGGTAAGCATGGAAAAATTCATATCGCCATATCATTTACGAGTGGAGTAAAGTCTATTCTAATTTGTGAAGAAACTCATAGGGAAGAGCCGAGCCTGTTCGCAGCCTCGCGGTTCTCGATCAGAGCCTAAACCCTCTACCGCCGTATGTCACTCTTCGAAAACATAACTTTCAACTTAAATTATACGTAAACTATTGAGTTTAGCACCATGAGGACGTTTGTACGCAAAAGAGAACATTTTAAAGTTGTTGTACGTGGCGGCAACCATCAGTGCAAGTCAGTTTGCGCTCAATAGCAGGTATCTTTTTGGAGAGTAGGCGCGTGACAATATTGCTCCGGTTACTCATGTCAGGCGGTAGAGGGTTAAGCTATCATCTGAGGAAGGTTGACCTCACCCGCCCAGCCGGGACTGCAGACACACCCGTCGCGGGAACAGCGGCCGCGGTTGTGGCACCCGCTACACCCGCCGAAGAAGACGTGGGGCAGCGCCCAAGTGGGGGGCGCCGCGCCCGGCGGGGACGAGAGCGAGAACCGCACGCGCATCGTGCGTGACCTGGGGAGGTGGGGGAGGAGGGCTGTATTGGGGGGAGGAATGGAGGGGGATAAATGAAGGGAAATTTATCGAGGGGTTAAACGGAGGGGGGAGAATTGGGGGGTTTAATAAAGTGGGAGTAACGGATAAGGAGTAACAGAGTGGGAATAACTGATGAGGAGTGACGGGTGAGGAGTAACGGATGAGGGATGATGTTGAGCAAAAATAATGCTAATGAATTTGGGGAATTATATAGGAAAATAATGAAGTGGAATTATTGTAGTGGGAAAATAGAGGAGGGGTAGTAGAGGGCAAAATATGAAGGGGAAATAATGGAGGGGATTGTGGCAGAACAGTCGTGGAGAGGGAATAACTGAGGAGGTATATTGGGGTTGGGGGGGATGGACAAGGGCCAACGAAATAATAGAGGAGGAATAATGGAGTGTAAAATAGGAAGAATATTGCAGCATAAACAATGGAAAAATGGAAGGGAACAATAATGGAGGGAGGATGGTACGAACCACGCGAGGGGAGGCAGGGGGAGGGTGACCAGCTGGGGCTGGAGGTCAGATGTGTGCAGGGGGGAGGCCCAGGAGGGGGGGCTGTCCAGTAGGGGGTTGTGGGCGGGGGGGGAGGGGGCTGGTGGCAACCATGGGTGCCAGTGCTTGCCGTAGTCAACCGAGAACTCCACCAGGATATCTGGGTGGAAGTGGTGAATATTCTGTCACATATTCTGTACATTGCTAATTTTTATAATATATCATTTATGTAATATGTATAATATATAACTTTTTACGTGGCAACTATAAACGCAATTCCTGAGCATGCATATATAATAAGGCCAAAATGGGGCAGCAGTTAATATGCAGTTGTCTCGGCTAACTGGAGGGGGCACTGCCGGCAGCAACTAGCACTAAGGAGCGGGCACTTAGGCAGCAACAAGCACAACTGCAACACCAACATATTTCTCAACTGCTGCAGTAAATCCTAACACAACTGCTGTAACAAATGCTAACCCAGTGGCTGGATGTCCTCCAAATACTTCAGTTATAATAACTCATAACAACTCTACAAACAACAAAGGAAACAGCAAATGCAATTGTCACTCTTAATATGTCAATGTCACCCTCAACAACTGCTGAGTAACTGCACGAGTTCTGACCGAAGCACGAAGTAGTGTCAGGAGGGCAGTTAGTGGACAGCTGGAACTGTAAGACAGTGCCGGCAGTGCCAACAAGGTCAGGACTCTCCGCGGAGTGCCAGGCTCCAGATCCTGCATGAGGAGAACAAGTCCTAGTCAAATAATTGAATCCCGTTATTATTTCATAATATGCGCGGATTACTTATATTAAAATTTGTTGTCAGTTGATTGACAAGAAACACCGACAGTTGTCAGCTAAATATCGATTGTACCAGCCAATTCTGTTGTTTGTAGTGCCGACGTATTGGCTCGAGGGCGGCTCAGGAGGTAGACTTGAAAATGCAACAAAAGAGGAGTGGGTTGGGGAAAATTATGGCGTGAAGTCAAGCAGACCGCAGCCTGAACAGAGTACAGTGCTGGTCTGCACAAAGAGGAGATGAGGAAAGTGGTGGAAAAAGAGGAAAAGATAAAAAGGTGTGGAGTAGTTTGGAGAGAGTCTCTGCCTTTCATAACATGTGATGCTTGAAATTCGCAAAACGCTGAATAAATAGGATTAAATAGAGCAGGAGCAGTAAAGGCCCAAAAAAGCGAGCGGTAGAGCGGTGTGCACAATGAGAGAAACAAATGGGTCTGGATGACCCATTTTGACGAGTCAACCGCGTACGAATAGTGATGTCCTTTTTCGACTCACTTGCCCAATTTGTGGGTCATACTGACCTATTACTGGCCCTTAACATTTCAAGTATGACTCACTTTTATCGTTAAATCGCTCTGACACCCAGATGCTCCCTACGTCTCCATGTACGGGTGGCGTCATGAGCGATTTGATGCCACAAGTGAGTCATGCCTGAATTTTGAAGGGGCAGTATGACTAAAAAAATCGGGCAAGTGAGTTAAAAAGTGCATCGATATTTGGACGCGGTTGACTCATGTAAGTGGGTCATCCAGACCCACCTATTTCTCTCTGTGCATGGTTATTTGCATGGTTATTTCTAGATCTAAAGCAGTGGTTCCCAAACTTTTTCAGGCTGGCGCCCCCTTTGCCTCCCCGGTGAATCTCTAGCGCCCCCCTCCCCACAGACACGTATAAAAAACAAACGCCTCTTTCTTGATATTTAGTACGGTGCAATTTTAAAAGAGAAAGGTTAAACACAAATTATGTGTATTTCACAAATAGAACCCCGTATAGCAAACCAATATACTTTATTACAGTTTTAATTGTTTCAGCACTAGAAATTCAAGACGGCTCGGACAAATTTACGGCCGGACCCGTGGCCGGTCTCGCAGCCGGTCTCACGGCCAATCTCCAAGTTCAGTGACCAAGGAATATCCCCCAAACTAATGAACGCAGTTCGATAAAACTTGGAATACGTATTCATTAGGACCTAACGGTGCTGTTTAGCTCGTGAAAAAATGTTAAATTTCACCTTCATTCGGGAGTTATATGGCGATATGGGCCGAAATTCGCAGTGATCAAAGAATTTCCTCCAAACTACTGAACAAATTCGAACGAAATTTTTAATATAAATTCCAAACTTCTAAACGGTGATTTTTAGCTCGTGAAAATTTCTTTGAGTGGGAGCCATGTTCTGCACGTGTTGTGTACAAATCGTCAAACAAACATGGGAACTTCTGACTTCGACTACGCGGACTGCCGCCTCCTTACTGCCCCTTTCTTCCTCACCGCACCCCCAGATCTTTCCACCGCCCCTAGGGGGGCGATATTGCCCACTTTGGGAACCACTGATCTAGAGCAATTGAGAAGAAGAGTGTAGTCTTCGCCATTCTTCATGGTGCGAGTGAATATTTCCAGTCCAATAAGTCCATTTGGCTTCTCTGAAAATGACGCCCTGGCTGTTGCTATACACTTGTACAGAAAAAATAATTTAGGTAGAAATTATTTGGAATCTGAAAGCGAGACCGTCAGGATTGAGAAGGACGAGCTAAGAAGGAAGGTGTGCAGGATACTTCCATCACGCAACAGAGCCGAGGTTGAATTTTAGTCTCTGACGGAAGAGTTTATTGTGGAACCAAGGTTGAACAAGGTCCTTCAAAAGGAGCTATAGAAGAGGAAACTTCATTCTTGAGATCTTCAAAAACGACTGAACGTATTCTTGTGCGCAATTCCTGATTGTCTGCCTTTGCAATACTACCAGCAACAAGAAGCAAGCAACAGTATCGTGCATCAGGCGGCCTAACTGGTAGTTATGGACTGGCATCTGGACCTTGGCGGTTATATAGGACGACATGACGGCCGGGGTTGAAGGAGAAGGATTACTGAGATGGCGCTCCAGCGAGGCCTGTGACTTCTAAATTTGACAAAACTACTAAGGAAAGGGAACGGCTAATGTGTGCCCACCACTGGCCGTTGTGGTATGCATACCAGCCAGTGGTGTGCCCACCACTGGCTAATAAGGCAATAACTAATAATAATTAAGAGTGAAACTAATGGCTATTCTTTATGAAGCTTTCATCGAGAATATTGTGTCTTGACGAATATGCGAGGTCTAAGTGAGCGAAAAGCGTCAGGCTCGGTGTGGTTCAAGGCCAAGGAGGCCATCTTGAGGCATCTTAAGGAAAGTCTCAAAACCGATTTCTGGATGTCTTTCAAACTGGGAATGGTGACACGAAAGACGGGAGGTACTATATGTGAGCTGATTGAAGGACCAAAAATGGGAGTGTGGTAATTCTGAAAGAGATGGTATGAGAGAAACCGAAATGGTATGAGAGAAACATTTGAGAAACCGAAATCGGTGCCTGCGAATGCTTGAAAAAGCGTGACATACCTGTAGTTTTGGGGGCACGTGAAGGAAGGAAGAGGAATGGATGCTTCAATAAAGGATTGAGAAGTGGCTTAAAAAGACATTTTAGCGTTCATCAAGTAAAATGAGACCATTGCAAATCGAGACTGAGAGGTGTATTCTTGCTTTGTGTCGAGTCACTCACAATTACTTGGTGGCGGATCATTTCGAGACCCATGTAAAGTACTTTTTCAGGTCCATCTATGCAACTTCGGTCTTCGGGAAGGGAACAATTATTATTGTTATTATCGTTCAGGCAGCGATGTAAGGGACCACTATTGAGTAGTAAAAAAAAAAATAGTAAGTTGAAAAGGGAAGTAGAGATAACCAACGATGACTAATAAACTTCCGAGCGCATGATCATAAATTGGGATTGAAATGTGAGCTTATTTGCCTTGCAGCAATAGCACAACACACGGGCCGGGTATGATGAAGGGGAGCAGCCGCGATCATCGAGAAGAGCAGTCGACAGTTTATAGTTTTTAGACAGGTTGACATCGACTACCGCGCAGTGTGAATGTCATTAACTGCAGAATGGCCAGGATTGAATTTGTGCCTCTAGGTAAAGATTGCTAGGAGGTCGGTAAAGAAGAAAAGCAATAGTCATGTCAATAAGTTGATCGCAGGGCTATTTAAAAAGATGGTGCTTAACGGTGGGGATGGTGAGAGAGTTTTAAAGATGACCAAGAAGAAGAACGTTAAGGGCTGCTTTGGGAGAAACGAGGGCACTACTCAGCTGACGATCGATTAATATTTAATTATTTGGAAAGTGTTGCGCGTCTGTTGCCATTTATCTGAGTAGCACTGGGTCAGAGTTACTTGCAAAGGTCAGCAGCACAGGCTCCAAAGTACCTGCAGAGGTCAGCACTGAGCTTAAAGTACCTGCAAATGTCAACACAGGGCTCAAAGTACCTGCGCAGGTCAGCACAGGGACCAAATTACCTGTAAAGGCCATCACAGGGCCCAAAGTACCTGCAAAGGTCAGCACAGGGACCAAAGTGCCTGCAAAGGCCAGCACAGGGCCCAAAGTATCAGCAAAGGTCAGCACAGGGACCAAAGTACCTGCAAATGTCAGCACAGGGCCCAAAGTACCTGCAAAGGTCAGCACAGGGACCAAATTACCTGTTAAGGCTAGCACAGGGCCCAAAGTACCTGCAAAGGTCAGCACAGGGCCCAAAGTACCTGCAAAAGTCAGCACAAGGCCCAAAGTACCTGCAAAAGTCAGCACAGGGCCCAAAGTNTAAACTAGCAATACCTCGTCAATGGCCCAGGCAATAAACTAGCAATACCTCGTCAATGGCCCAGGCAATAAACTAGCAATACCTCGTCAATGGCCCAGGCAATAAACTAGCAATACCTCGTCAATGGCCCAGGCAATAAACTAGCAATACCTCGTCAATGGCCCAGGCAATAAACTAGCAATACCTCGTCAATGGCCCAGGCAATAAACTAGCAATACCTCGTCAATGGCCCAGGCAATAAACTAGCAATACCTCGTCAATGGCCCAGGCAATAAACTAGCAATACCTCGTCAATGGCCCAGGCAATAAACTAGCAATACCTCGTCAATGGCCCAGGCAATAAACTAGCAATACCTCGTCAATGGCCCAGGCAATAAACTAGCAATACCTCGTCAATGGCCCAGGCAATAAACTAGCAATACCTCGTCAATGGCCCAGGCAATAAACTAGCAATACCTCGTCAATGGCCCAGGCAATAAACTAGCAATACCTCGTCAATGGCCCAGGCAATAAACTAGCAATACCTCGTCAATGGCCCAGGCAATAAACTAGCAATACCTCGTCAATGGCCCAGGCAATAAACTAGCAATACCTCGTCAATGGCCCAGGCAATAAACTAGCAATACCTCGTCAATGGCCCAGGCAATAAACTAGCAATACCTCGTCAATGGCCCAGGCAATAAACTAGCAATACCTCGTCAATGGCCCAGGCAATAAACTAGCAATACCTCGTCAATGGCCCAGGCAATAAACTAGCAATACCTCGTCAATGGCCCAGCAATAAACTAGCAATACCTCGTCAATGGCCCAGCAATAAACTAGCAATACCTCATCAATGGCCCAGCAATAAACTAGCAATACCTCGTCAATGGCCCAGCTGCCATCGAAGCGGCCATCACCGGACGGTTGCCACCAGCGCAGCTGCGTGGCGTTGGTGCGCGCAGCGTCTGAAAATGACGAGCACACAAACAACCTCCAACTACCATGGCATTAATCAACCATTCTCATGATTCATCAACCTTCAACTACCATGGCATCAATCAACCATTTTCATGATTCATCAACCTTCAACTACCATGGCAGTAATCAACCATTTTCATGATTCATCAACCTTCAACTACCTTAGCATTAATCAATCATTTTCATGATTCAACCTTCAACTACCTTTGCATAATTCAAACATTTTCATGACCGAATATAAAAGTAAGAACAAACCAAACTTCCCTTAGTTTAACTTCCTCAAACACAGGTGACAAAATTGCATGGCACATTAGAAATTCTAAATGCACCGAATGAAAACCAATTGCTGCAATTCCGGCAGCTGGAATTCTCGCAATAAGTTAGCGTGGTTCCTGCTTTCCTATAGAACTTATTGTCTAATTAAAAAACTTGAATTCAAGCAAAAATCATCCGTTACAAAAACACTCCAAGTCGATTCATCTTCATGGATATTTCTTTTAGACCATTGCATTATTTGTATTGATTTAGTACATATTTTTTCTTGTGATCACACGCTGCCGTCAAATCCTCACCTCATGCCGGGAATCGAACCCAGAGCACCTGGGTCACAAGCTGTGCGTACAAACGTAGTTGGTACGCACAGCTTATGACAAATTAACATGTTTATACCTTGAATCACATCCTACGTCATACCTGGCAGAGGTACGGTGAAATGCGAGCTGTGTATGGAGCTTGTTGTAGTCCTGAGGTCTCTGGTGTTCTTGAGGTCCTTGGTGAGCTCAGCGATGAGTTCCCAGGTTACTCCTCCGTCAGAAGAGAACTGCAGGAGGATTGGCTGCACTTCTGCTGCGGCCAGCTCGCGGTTCTCTGCTGCAGACTCGCAGCCCAGACGCAGGTAGAACTGCACCACACTTCACCGGGACGTGAAAAATATCTATTAAACATTTATGCATTCACGATATGGTAAAATATGATCCTTACATTCATGCATTCACCGTGTCGTGAAAATATCTATTATACATTCATACATTCACGACGTGGTAAAATATCAGTCTTATATTCATGCATTCACGATGTGGTAAAAATATCAATCTTACATTCATGCATTCACCGTGTCGTGAAAATATCTATTATACAGTCATGCAGTAATGCCTGTCTCCAGTCCTTTGTTGAGAGACGAGATTGAGTGAAAGAAATTATCTGTGTTATTATTTCCACGAGACCGGTGTGTCCTGTAAAAATATGCATTCTAAATTCTAATGAAGTCCCCGTAATAAACCATCTTAAATTCAGTCCTAATTTGTTGTACATATTCATATTTTACGGTATTAATAATTGCTTTATAGTTGTGTCGGCGAACGTTATTATATAATTCCCCAAACCCTCAACATTAACTATTCCACCGTATTGTATTTTATATTACAAAAGTAAGTGAAGGAGCTATATATATAGCGGTGGGCGGCCGGGAGTATATATATATCCATGTTTTTTTGCCCTAAATTCCCTTTCGGCCAGCCCTGGTGACGGGGCTTCGGCGCAGCGGTTCCGCCAATCGCGGCAACCGCCGTCGCGATAGCTGGTAGGCCTGGCAGGGCTCGTTGGCCTGGTCGGTCGTCCTCTTACAACGCATCAACTTCTATTAAATGAAGCTCACGTGCTTAAAGCAAGTCAGCAATATTGCATATTGTAAATCAGCCAAATGAGCAATGAAATAACGATCGAACCTTCGTCCACCTAACGTAAAACCTACCTTACCTTGTTATACTTATGCTTGGTATAATATAGGTAAAGAGATACCTAACACCTATTATATACCTATACCTATCGATCACTGCCTTAATTAATTATCAGATGGCCACATAAGGCTGAATTTACTAAGTCATCACTTGTAGTATTTGGTGATGAAAGGCACCGTTTCTCAAATTCAACATGCGTGTTTCAAAATTATTTATTCCAGAACTATTGACAATTTAAAACACACCTGTTACAGTGACGATGAAAAAAGATATACAATGGGCTGCATTAACAGTCAAATACCCATTAGTGAGAGGCCTCTAAGCCATACATCTACTGAAACATGATCAGTAGTTACTAGTCTTCACTATAACTGAACCAAAATTAGAAAGAGCAGCTCGCAGGCCACTTCTTTCTTCCCGTCCTATGACAGCCCACACGTAACACGCGCGCTGAGACGAATATCGTATGGAAAATTCAGAACCTATGGCATTCATTATAACTAATATGTACAATTATCATAAATTTGATTGAATTGTTATACGGAATAATAAAAAATAATAATGAACTAAATATTTTCCATCGTTGAAATTTGAACAAAAGATTAAGCCAAAAAAGCTTAAGAAATGAAAGGTCATTATTGGTTATACCGATATGGTTGGATCTGCAACCATTATCGGTAGATCAGCAGCCATTATCGGTTGATTAGCTGCAATTATCATTAGATCATCTACCATTTTCAGTAGATCAGCAGCCATTATCGGTTGATCAGCTACCATTATCTATAGATCATCTATCATTATCCCACCTGACGTCGCTGGTGTCCAGATCATTTGTAAGGATCATCCTCTCGCCGTCCCCGCTGAAGACGAGCGACTTGCCGCTGACCACTGGGCATGCCGCTGTGATCTCTGCACCACTGATCCTCTGGACCAGCTGGCTGTTGGTGTCATCTGTGGCGCATACAATCTCAGCTGATGAATGAAACTCGCATTCTTACAGAGAAACTGTTTATTTCCATTTAATAGTAGCACATCTGAAGTGTGGTGAGGCGTGCGTGGTGTTACCTTCGAAGGAGAGTTTGACGGTGTCGGGGTTGGGGCGTGAGGACAAGCATGCAGTCTCCTGGTCGTAGTGGGGGCCATCACACACACACGTGTCGCCGTTAACACAGCGGCCGTGGCCGTTACAGTTGTATATACACGCGGGGCCCACGTATGCGTTGTCCAGCGCCCACACCAGCGGGCGGGCGTCGTCGCCCAGCTCGATCCAGCGGAACCGCACGTTGCTGACGGTACAGAGCTGCATTAAGCTACACGTTGCAGACGGTACAGAGCTGCATTAAGCTGCACGTTGCTGACGGTACAGAGCTGCATTAAGCTGCAAGTAGCTCTGAGTGAAGGTATCAGGCGTTAATTAAGCCAACGCTGATCTTTGATAGCTTTACAATGAGCCCTGGCGAGTGTACAATATCATTCAACACTTCAAACTTGTTCTCAATGCTCAAAAAATTTTGCTAAAGAAGACGCTTGTAAATATGGCAATAATTACCCAAGCTGAAGCTGAGTATGACTCGAATTTCTGTAGACAAACTACAGCATAAAAAGCAGTCAAATTGTATCAGAAACGAGTGTAGAAATTCGTGGTTATTATGCATTCTACGCAAGCAAATCTTCATTAAAGGCCAATCAAATGAAAAAAGTTTCCTGAACCCTAATAATATGAACAGATACTTGCGCAAAGTGCTGACAAATTGAAATGATATACATACATATTTTAAAACTATCCCGAAACAAAATTTTTGAATATGGCAAGTTGCAATCGCGGTAACAAAATCAAGCCTCATTCACCGAGCCTCACCCGCATATTTGTAGCGCGGAGAGCAGGATGACCTCGCGCCGCCAGCTGGGGGCGCTGTTCCAGTAATACACCGACGGCGCCCGCAGCTCGTGCAGGCAGTCTGGGCTGACGCGGTGTCGGGGCAGACCCGCCCCATCAGCACGCCCATTACCAGCCTCATTCCGACCAGAAATTTTTCTCCCACGTAAAGAGCTATCATCATTTTGCTCCTCAAAATCTCCAAGATAATTCCAGGTTTCCCCGAAAGTTTGTATCCGGCGGCCTGCTGCTCTTGGCAGCGAGTATCCCTGGGGCACGTCGGGCATGTGGGTGTCCCTGGGAGGTCTGGTGAACTCATCAGAGTCGGAGGACGTGGCCAAGTCACGGACGGACTGCCACGTGGCGCCGCTGTCGGTGCTGTACTGCAGGCTTACGTTGTGCAGGCTTGGCTCCGAACTGCCGCACCCAATCTTGATCTGCGTCACCAACATTGAGAGAGAAAAATACTTAATTTGTGGATAAACGAAAAATAATTTATGCACCAAAATTGATTGACACGAAGGTGCAGAAAAAATAGAAAGTACAATAGAACTTATCAGCATTCGCAGCAAATACAAAATCAGAACTAATGGACCGAACTCAGTAGTACATGCAAATTCAAATATTTGATAACATTTAATTAATCAAGAAGTAAGCGACGAAGAAAGATGTATTTGACAGAAAAATATATACCACTACCAACACTCACATCAAACTGGAGGACAGAATCGCCGTAAATGGACACGTCCCTGGAGTAGAGAGCTCGCTGTCCTCCGGCCGTGGACGCACCGAACACGAGGGCCTTGCGCGAGTCCCTGCCGTGCCAGAGAGTGCAACTTATGATGTCATGCCTTCAGGGATAGACCTGCTGCAGGTCACCTGCTCTGGCATCAGTAGGAGTGTACCTGACGCAGGTCACCTGCTCTGGCATCAGGAGTGTACCTGACGCAGGTCACCTGCTCTGGCATCAGAAGTGTACCTGACGCAGGTCACCTGCTCTGGTATCAGGAGTGTACCTGACGCAGGTCACCTGCTCTACCGTTGCAACAAGCGGGAATCATCACCTCACAGCTGTCACAATTGTATGCAATATTGTTCCTCCTCCACTTTCCTTAATAGTCAATCAATATCAGTGTAGGCATCATTCCAAAATAAAAATAATTAAGTGGAAAAGCAAATCTTAAATTATTTTTTACATCGGGTCGCAGGACTAAATTAGTCTCACGTGGGACACAGTTGCCCGATCTCTGCCCCGGGCCAGTCGATCCAGGCGTCACTGATTGGCTGGGCCCCGTTGAAGTCTTCGTAAAGAACATTGGGGACCACAGGGGCCCCGCCGATGTAGAGGTTATCTATGGCCCAGGCCCGCAGCCCCGTTACCGAGGGGTGATTGGGTTGCCAGAAGCGGAAGCGGGTGGAGTTAGTTTGCGACATCGGGAAATCTTGGAGATCGATGCTGACGAACCGCGGACGTCGGTACGGAGCGAAGTGGATCTCCTGGAATATGTCGTTTAGCCATAGATTAAATTGATTAGCAAACGTGATTTTTTTGTTTGTATTATTTTTTATTTGCGACTTTTTCCATAACTTTCCCTTATGGAGCTCAACAGATCTGAACGGAACACATGTTTGGCTTCTGTTCAAACTTTAAAAACGAAAAAGTAGAAACCAAATTCTCTTAATTCATGTAAAAATATTGTAAATTCATGTAATACTGAAATAAAAATAATTTCATTTGTAAGCAAAAATTCATGTTTAATGGTCTGACGACTCAAAAGTTAGTGGATTTCAATGGTCTGACGACCCGATATGGATCAATTTTGATCGAAATCACCCGGTATAAATCTGTATTAATCAACACGGCCTCATATAGACCGATTTATACCGACATGGCCCAATATGGACCAATATTAACAAGCATGGCCTAATATGGACCAATATTTACCGACATGGCCTAATNAGATGTGTATAAGAGACAGGTCTAATATGGACCAGTATTGTTCAACATAGCCAATTATTGGCCATTATCTTTAAATCCTCACCTTTAGGAGCGTCCAGCTGATCCCTCCATCAGTAGAGAACTGCACCAGGATGCCCTCATCCCTCTGGCTGAGGGAGTCGTCCTCTGCGATCCAGGAAGGTCCTCCCGCGGTCTCCTGCGTCGGCGCTGCCTTCAGCTTCCACTTGTCATCTCCATCAGGCGAGTCCTCACCCCAACTGATCCAGAATTGATCAATCGGCGGCCAATGATACATGGTCATCAGAAGATAACGGATGATATTCAGCAATATTTATTAATTAAAAATGATTCATATGTAAATCGAAACATTTATCTTCGACTGCATCCTAAGAAATCAACAACGACCTGACAAAATTATATAATCAAAAAAATCAGGAAAAATGTTCAAAAAATTAGAGAAGAGTTAATGAATGAAAAACAAGTTCAGAACTGAAAAAAAGAGTTAAAAAAAAATTTCAGAAATTAAGTACCAGTTAAGAAATGTTAAACAGATTAATAAATTGTGAACGAGTTAAGAAATTGAGAACTGAGTTAAGAATTGAGAGCGAGCTAAGAATTTAGAACGAGTTAAGAAATAAAAAATATGCGTTTAAAAATTATTTTTAAAGACAACGCTTGCAAAGAATCCAGTGTCTCCGATATTGCACATGTACAATGAATTTCTAATTATATTATCAAATATTAAAAAAGTAATTTTTAATTTTATTTTTAAAATTTTTTCAATTTTTCAAAATTATTTATTCTGTCAATTAATTCATGCATTGTCTCCAACTTTACGCAAGTGTGCAAAATTTTAGATCGATTGGACAGGTAGAAGTGTGTTCAATATCGATCATGAGATTTCTAGCAGACAGACAAACAACAAGAAGTGAAGCTAAAGAGAAGTACTGTAAAATAATATAGATCACGGATACAAGGAAGGACTTGACCTGACCTCTGCCGGGTGGAGGGGCAGCCGAGGAAGATGGTTACTTGCAGGAACTGTGCCGAGGTCATGTCAAGGTCATAGGTCACGGCCTCGCGCGTCCCCTCCTGTAGGACGCGTGACTTAGTTCTTCTCTTTGCTGTTTGTTTGCAAATTATTTTTGGGAGGATTTACTTATATTTGTATACATGAGCAGCTGCTTGTGTATGCTGGCATCGTTAGTTTGGTGTTAGTTACGTGCAAATTTAATATGAATTAGCAAGTGGTAAGTTAATACTATTCAGTGTTGAAGCCTATGTTGTTGAAGCTGCTATCTCAAGTGCTGTTGTCCTGACTTAGTTTGCCTGCAACATCATCAGGGTCGAGATAACGTAGCATTGTTATTTAACACCGTCGTTCAGCGTCAGCTACAGCATTGTATCAAGGGTTCACCACAGCTGACCACCTCCAGGGAAATAGCGTCTGAATAATATTGTATGCGAACTGTTACTTGCATGAGTAATCGAATCCTTCATTTGCTTGAATCGCAGGTCATCCAATGATTTAAAAGCAAATATAAAACACCTGACCAGCATTATCGTTTCTTCATAATTACCCCCCAAGCTACAACCATTTTTTCTTCAATAGATATATTGATAACACCTTCCGGTCTATCATATCTGTTGCAGTTCTATCATGTTTATCATGCAGTTCCTATCTTCGATGATCTTGACTGAGAACATTCATCGGAAAAGTTCTCTATCAAGATGGAAACAAAGAATAGTTTATCGTTTGGCGGCTGAGGTTCTATAATGGTCGCTCTCAGAAGCGACACTTACAGAAGCGCGACATTTACCGGATAAGATATAGGCAACCATTTTTACCTATTGTTCATTACGTCTTCAATTGAATAGACTTTAAATTATTACACACCGCGGCCTGTTACGTGGAGCTCTCATCTCCAGCAAACAATTTATCAAACATTGGTTTTGTGAAGACAATATAATAACTTTCAGAGTATCTTTAAGGTAGAATTTTCGCTAAGTATCCACGACAGCTAATGCTTGTTCTTGTGTTAATCCACAATCTCAATGTTAAGTGTTGGATAATCTTCCTCTTATCTTAAAATGAAAACGTTATTCGTAATTTATTAAATACACTGCGATGTCTTATGGAAAACTGATTTTCATTTTGCCAAAGCCAGCGTAAATCCTCTCAACTCATAAGCTGAATTAATTCATATTATGTCCTTTGCATAACATTGCATGCCTAACCCCAATGCAGTCCGCATTGCCTGCATAAACTTATATCCATAATATTTTGTTAATAATAATCAAATTAATACGTTAAATTGAAACATTGAGGCAGCAACTGCAAGCCTCTTGATGGAAAATGTATAATGAGCGTTTGAAACTAGGAATATCTCAAGCATTTGACTCTAGGATCTCAGGCATCCATCATGTATCGAAAGGTGCATTTAGCATATATTTACAGCTCCACTGAGCTAATATACTCAGTTTAATTTAACATACATTTATTACTGCATTCAGCGCACATTTAGGGCTGCACTTAACGCATATTTACAGGCGCATTCGTCCTCAAATTTCCATCACTCACCCCGACAAAAACGAGCGCAGCTCCACCGATGAGCACTCCACATTCGAGCCCCTCCTTCGCTCCCCTCATGGTCAACCAATGGGGAGACGATGTATCCCCTTCCTCGTCTCTCATTCCCCCACCAGCTTCTCGACTCAAGCTGGAGGAATTATAGGAGGGGACCACTCGTCCCCCCACGGGGGGATGGTGGTGACGGTTGAAGGTGTCGAGCAGCTCGCACGGCAGCACCGACGCCGGCACGCACACGTCCCCGAAGTAGCCAGGGTCGCAACTGGGGACGCGAAGCAAACATGCAATAGCGGGACACGAGGGCAGAGACTTGATGTGCGAGCAATAAGACAAACTTGCAGTTGCGGGACACGAGGGCAGAGACTTGATGTGCGAGCAATAAGATAGCAATAATGCGCCCTATTGGCCGCACATTGCTGGCAATGACGTCGACGTGACCGGCCATATGTTTTTCATCAAATTCATCATGTAATGTGGGATCATTTCCAGAATCTGCGTCACTTTGAACGTTACTTACGCTACGTTAGGTATCTAGAATTCAAATAACAACAATATGCATATTAAATATTAATTAAATAGCAATATCAACCGACATCTTTTATTAAACAGCAAACTAAGAATTTATCATAACGACCTGCAGACGCCATGTTGATTGCAGTATCCGTGGCCTGAGCACATCCACGGACAAGCGTCCCCCAGAAACACGTTACCCAACCCCCAAGTAACCCCTGACGAGGGGGGACCTGATGAAGGGGGCCCTGAGGGGGGCGGCAGCGCCCGTAGTCGCACGCGAAGTGCTTGGCCCCTGGAGGCGATAACATTTTATTTTTTTACAAGCGCCAGTGATTCCTTGACTGGAAGAATAAAGTCACGTCTTGTCCGGGATAACTGGGGATCAAATTTAAGGACATAGATTCCCAACGTCAACGGACATAGATTCCTAACGTCATATAGGACATAGATTCCTAACGTCAAATTCAACTAATAGAGCAAAAATTTCGAAGCAACAAGTCGCTCTGCCGATGGACAAAGTGCAGGTCACATCGACCTGCACTTTGCTGCAGGTCCAACAACTTTGCTGCAGGTCCAACAGCTCCAACACGTCTTCATATTAATAATTATGTTAATTATAACATTATTATATATCCTAATGCATATTAATACTGTCATATATTAATATTCATATTAATCATTCGACATATTAATAATGATTAGGCCCCTACATCTTCTTCATCGCATCAGGGAGGGCGTGTATACTGTGATGGTGTGTAACTGTGATGAACACTTGTTCCCATGTCTTCCGCACCACATGTCAGAAGCTTTGTTGTCCCAAATTTAATCTTAAACCAAATGCGTAGGAATAAAACCAATACAAAATATGAATGCTGTTAAAAAAATAAATGCTGTTCTTTTATTACTGTTAAAAGGACTCACGCTGGACTCACCCTTGTATACAGCCAACACGCAAGATTTCTGCCAATTATCCCACAGGACTCCCCCCAAACAAAACAACCCGCCGTACCCACACTCCTGCCCCCCGGTACTTCCTCCCCCCCCGGGACTCACGCTGCCTCACGCGGCATCTCGACGGTGGCGCGGCGTCGGTGCCGTGGCAGCGCCGTGGTCTCTCCTGGCACCTCGAAGACGCTGGCGTGGTCGTAGCTGGCGCAGGTGGTGTCAGGTGGCGCGCACACTTCACGGACCAGCGACCAGCTGTTGCCCGAGTCAGTGGAGTACTCCACCGCCACAGAGATGGCCGGAGAATCTCCGAGCATGGGTTCGGACACGGCAGGGGATAGGCGGGGGGATTTGGAGGGGGGTGGGGTGGGGGGACAGGGGCCGTAGAGGTCGAACTGGATCATCGTGGCTTCAGTGGCTTCCACGTCCCAGGTCTCCGCGAAATGTGGATCTGGTGGATGTGAGCGCCAACAGTTTGAGGCTCAGCACCAGAGTTCAGTTAAGATAAGACCAACAAAATTGTCGATGAAGTTGACACAGGATATACTTCCCTTGAACAGCCTTATTTCTCCGCAACGGAAACATTCGTTGGCATAAGGAAATATTCGTTGCCATGACAATCAATGAGATGAAGAATGTGGGATAGCATATCCGCTTCAAAGGCCTTTACTAGTCAGTATTATCAAGATTGACTGGAAAATTAATTTATAATGAATTATTTTAAACTATAACTCGTTTACGCCGTAAAATTACGGCTCTCTTAAGGCTAAAATTTGAAGAAAGTTACAAGTTTACGACAGATAAGCTCACAGAAAAATAAATCCGCAGTAATTCTGCGTAACAGGGCGTTAATTTTGTACGAAACTCACAACTGCCGTCAAAAACAACGAGAGTTTCGTTCTGATGACAGCTGCTTCGTTGTTCCCGGCCCCCGCGGAGCCAGAACCAGGTTTCGGAAGTTTGCGGTTCACCACCCGCCGCTGCTGAACCGTAAGGAGCACCGCGGTTGCCCGAGAGGCTGTAGGGCAGCGTGTCATTGGCCAGTAGCTGCACTCCCTCCAGCTGCCATTCTGCGCGCGCATTGCTGGACGAACTGCCACTGCAGTGAAAAACTTGGTCACTTCCTTCGTGATTGCTGCTTAGTTTTAGTACCGAACTTTGAGCCCAATGTTTGGATCAAGCCGCGTTTTATAAAAGTAAAACCGATCCACTAAAATCTTGCAACTGGCCTTGCAACTCTATCCTCTCACTGTTTTTGCTAATATATGTGCCATTTTACATCAATCGGTCCTGAATATCAGAAATGTGAGAATTGCAGCCTCTACCACAGAACACATGTCGCCAACTGCTCTGACAGAAAATGATTATTCTCAACAAACAGAAAACCTTATCAGACATATAAAACCAACAAAATACAAAAGCCGAAATCGTCAAACACGCCAGCAAACAGACAAATATAATCCATCCAAAGATGACTCGCACCAAATAAATCCAAATCAACTCGTTATCATTATTGAAACCCGCATCGAATGCCCCGCCAGACCGGAGAGTTTCGGCTCAATTCTCTTTGACAACCGCGACCAGAACAAACAGCAATGAGACAACACCAACTTTATCCTCAGGAACCACACCGACTTTATCATGAGGGGCCATACCGACTTTATCCTCAGGAACAATACCGACTTCATCCTCTGGAACCACACTGACTTTATCCTCAGGAACCATACCGACTTCATCCTCTGGAACCACACTGACTTTATCCTCAGGAACCATACCGACTTCACCCTCTGGAACCACACTGACTTTCTCTTTAGGAACCATACCGACTTTATCATCAAGAACCACACCGACTTTATCCTCAGGTACCATACCAACATTATCTTCAGAAACACACCGAATTTATCTTCAGGAACCATACCGAATTTATCTTCAGGAACCACACCAACTTGAAACCTCAAGAACCACACCGACTTTATGCTCAGGAACCATACCGACTTCATCCTCTGGAACCACACTGACTTTATCCTCAGCAACAATACCGACTTTATCCTTAAGAATCATTTTGTAAGGTATCGACGGCCTTGACCGTTGTCACTGAATTGATCGAAGCAAGGCACCGACTTGGAAGCCTATAGAGCACCTGTCGGTCTCGGTGAGCGTGGTGGTGGCGGTCATAGTGAGGGCGTCGGGCTGCCACCACCGCACCGATGTCTGGTGCGACCGCGCGAATTCAGGCAGATCAATGGAAAACGGACGACTTCTGAAAGAAGGTAAATATCCTCAAATCAAAGTTTGTTAGAGGTTTGATCAAGATTTCATTTATCACAACACTTATTTTTAGGAGATAAAACAGACATTCTCTTCGGCACATGAGGGCTTCCTAGCACGCGGGAGTTGAAGCCCTCCACGAGGTCCGTTGTAGGATCAACGAGACAGACGGTTGCCTGTTCAGGGTCATGTTTTGGGCAACCATTACGGAGGGTTCTACCAGCACTAGGGTTCACTTTTTGAGGGTCATGTGGGGTTCAACCATCGCTAGGGCTCACCTATTGCGCGCCAGGGCTCACCTCCCGCGTTACGATTGTGTTTTAACCGTTGCGAGGGTTCACCTGTTGGAGGTTAAGTGAGGTTCTACTGTCGCTAGGGTTCACCTGTTGAAGGTCATATGGGGTTCAACCAAAGCGAGGGTTTGCCAGTGCAGCCCCCCGTCAGTAGACGCCTGTACGAGGACGTCGTCCCGAGGCGACACGCCCTCCCGACACAGGCTATGGGGGGAGCCTCCTCCCCCTATCTGCAGGAAGAACTCCAGAGACCTGGAGAGCAGCGAGGGGAAGTGAGGGTAGAAGGAGCAGTGAGAGTAGTTATGGTAGTGCGTGTTGTGGGAGTAGTGAGGCATTGACGGTAAAGAGGCTAGTGAGGGTAGTGGGGTAGTAGGAGCAGTGAGGGTAGTGCGGAAAGTAAGTGTAGTGAGGGTAGTGCGGAAAATGAGGGTAGTGAAGGTAATGAGAGTAGTGGGGGTAGCGAGGTAATGAGGGTAGTGGCGCTCATGATTCACTCCCCCAATCACTTTCGTCATTCAGCAGCTATAGCTAACCACTGGATGGGTGGTTGGTAGACTCGGCCGCGTTACAGTTGTGACAACATCAACAGCAGACACTCCGCGTTACAATTGTGTTAGCACCCACATTCCCCCAGGTCCACCAGAACTGACTTGATGCGGCGGGTGTCCACTTCCTTGAGCTCGGCGAGTCTGGGGGAGTCGCCTGCGAAGAGCAGCAGGGGCGCGTCCAGGTTGCTGGGGGAGCACGCCTCCCTCACGACGCTGGCCCCCATGAGACGACGCCAGGGGGTGTCCTCTGGCCCTCGTACTATGCCCCCTGCTTCCCCACCTCCTCCCTCAGCTCTGGATCCCTGCTCAGAGCGGGAGACCGCGCCCAGTTTAGAACCCCAGCCCCAACACACCCAGGCCCCAGCACCTCAGCCCCCACACACCCAGGCCCCAGCACCTCAGCCCCAACACACCCAGGCCCCAGCACCTCAGCCCCAACACACCCAGGTCCTAGCACCTCAGCTCCAACACACCCAGGTCCCAGCACCTCAGCCCCAACACACCCAGGCCCCAGCACCTCAGCCCCTGCCCCCACACACCCAGGTCCTAGCACCTCAGCTCCAACACACCCAGGCCCCAGCACCTCAGCCCCAACACACCCAGGCCCCAGCACCTCAGCCCCGACACACCCAGGTCCTAGCACCTCAGCCCCAACACACCCAGGCCCCAGCACCCCAGCCCCAACACACCCAGGCCCCCCATGCAGGAGGTCCCCCCGGTCCCCCCGCAGCGTAGGCCGTGGGGTCGTCCCTCAGGAAGGCGGGGCGAGGGCGGGGGCCGCGCTCACACGTCGTGCCTGCACAGCACAATAAGAGTCGGTCTCCGTCGCCAGCTGTGATGCGTATGGTGTGGCAGCTATTGCATATAGCATGATCTACACCAGGGGTCTCCAAACTACGGCCCGCGGGCCGGATCCGGCCCTCGGCTAGGTTCCATCCTGCACGCCGAGGATATCTCATATTTCAACATAATGTGTGCAGAAGTCGAGCGTGGCGTTTATTTCTGGTTACGCTTACGCATGAACTAAGAAACAGGAAAAATGCGTGACTGGTGTCTCTAAAATTTGATAAAATATTTACAAACGTTGCCATGAACCACCCAAGACCCTTTGATTGAGGAAAACATTATCGTCCTGGTCTGCTTGCCAGTGTTAACCCAAGTTTGGAAGTTTTTCATGTGACATGTAATGTCAGGAACAGGGAAGAAGAGAAATGTGGACTCCGAATGCCGTGAATTCAAGGAAAAAAGGGGTGCATACTACTTTTTTATCGAGTCTGATAAGTTGGCAACAGAGCATTATGGTTAATATGCAACGATAGTTTGGCAGAGCTGAAAGAGTGCAACATTCGGAGACATTATGATGCAAAACACTCATCAAACTATTCATAACTCAGAGGAAAGCTTTGCACAGACAAGCTGAAAGCGACGAGACACAACTTGGCAGCGCAATAATTTTTGTTCGAGAAAAAGAACGCCGAGAATGAAGCTGCAACAAGATCAAGTTACCGTGTGTCATCTTTTGTCAAAGCGATGAAAGCCCTTTGCCGATGGTGAGTTAATTGAATTATGCATCATTGAAGCAGCCAACAAACTCTGTCAGGAAAAAGTAGACTTGCTTAAACCATAAGCCCTTTGGCAAATACAGTTGCCTGTCGAGTAGAAGATATTGGAATAAATATACGGTTTCAACTCGAAGAAAAAGCCAGATAATTCAAGTACTTTTCTCTCGCGCTTGATGAATCAACTGATGTCACTTCTACCTCGCAGTTGCTGTTTGTTCATGGGGTGCAGCAAAGATTTTGAAGTGATTGAAGAGTTGGCCGCTGTGCACGAAATGCATGGTACAACAACAGACGAGAAAATTTTCGAAGAAGTCGAGAAATCTCTCCTGCATTACGGCCTGGAGTGGAAACTGTTCAAGTGCGTCACAACCGATGATGGAAGAAACATGTGCGGCTCTGGAAAAGGGTTAGTTTGGCAAATTTACAAAGCTGCTGCAATAGCGGCTGTCCCAAGCGTTTGGTTTTTCACTGCATTTTTCACCAGCAGGCACTGTGTGGCCAATATATGGATTTATCTTCTGTGATGGAACTTGCTTACCTGTGGCAAGGTGTTGTCACGATTTTTTTAACTCCGAGCAGAAATTGAAATTTTTCGGAATGAAAACAATCGACCCCAGCCTCTACTCATTGGAAATTGCAGGGCAAAACAGCTCTCATTTGCGACATGTATACCCAAGTGAAGGCGTTTCGACATAAGTTACTTTATTTTGTTTTAGACCCAGTTGATGAAGAACTGTTTCAAACACTTTCCATGTTGTGAAAAGTTTGAGAGAGAAACTCAATCTTCGTTCGCAAGAAGATTTTCAGAAGGCATTATTTGCAATCTGAAACAGCAATCTGAAGAACGTTTTGCAACTGCAGCAATTAAAAATTTTCCAAAATCTATTTGATTGTGCCATTCAAGATTTGCCGTCTGAACTTCAATTGGAAGTAATTGATCCGCAAGCCAATGACGCGTTGAAGGACAGATTCAGAGAAGGTAAACTGATCGACTTTACGAGTGTCCGCCAAGCGATGAATCTGCTCATCTACAAGCCTTTACTTGTGATTCTATTTCCGGTTATGGCACAACCTATTTTTGTGAACAAACATTTTCTAAGATGAAGTATGTCAAGTCTAGCTACAGGGCAGCCTTATCCGACGAACATTTACAATCCATTCTGATGATAGGAAGAGGTAATTTTGATCCTGAACTCAATGGGATTTTGTATGAAAAGAAATAATTCCATGCCTCTCATTAATGCTGTTTCACGTTGAATATTTTTTAAGATTACTCTCTAATAATTACAGCCATAATTATTATGTCCCCTCTGTATATAGGAGCCGTGCATATCACGCCAATTAATTAATGAAAAGGATTTAAGATTAAGCGAAGAATAAGCGATGAAAAATAGTGTACAGTTGTTTCGTAAGACGAAGTGCAGAATAAAATAGTTGTTCGTGCGCTAATTTTGACTATCGCGTTTTATTCGTAATTTGTGCTGCACTCCCCTCCGTCCACGAACTTCTCCGGCCCGCGAAGGTTTCAGTATAAGCTTGATCTTGGCCCTTGGTGAAAAAAGTTTGGAGACCCCTGTTCTACACAACACATCACCATACATCTGCACAACATGTAGCGATGTTATCACAATTACAAGGCGTGCAGGTGTTGTTCCACAGCTGCACGCCTCAACAAAAAATAAGCTTACCTCACAACAAACAAGAGCGCCACTTGCGTTGAATGCAAGCACGCCTGACAACGCCTTCCTCACAATATGCCCCCAGCAAAGGGATGATGATGGTGATGATAATAGTGATGATGGTGATGATAGTGGTGATAGTGATGGTATCACTGACCAGTGTAGCCGGCCTGACACACACACCGCCCCCCTGGGTGACACTGGCCGTGGCCGCTACAGTGTCGGGGGCACGGCGCCCCCACGTACACCCCCCGCAGAGCAAACTCCCCCGTGTTGCCCCCCGTGGGGTTGTCCTGACGCCACCTCAGCTCCACCGGCCTGGGGAGGAGGGGAAGTTCAACCCTTAGCAGTGCAACCATATATGACAGTGGAACCTTTTAAGGGAGGGTAATTCAAGCATTTATGATGGTGCAGCCTTAAAGGTAAGGTAGTACAACAGTATTTGGCAGAGCAGTGCAACCATATATGGTAGAGTAACCTTGAAGGTAAGGTAACATAGCGCAACCATATCCTAACGGCACTCTCATGTCCCTCCATCACAGTGATTCACCCCTCACTAGCCTCAGGGGTCATAAGTCACAAAGAAATGTCAACTAATTCGGGAGGAAAATCTCCAGCGCTGTTCTCACTGAGCAACGCCAGACCACCGCCCGAACACACTGCAATCTCATCCCCCCACTTACCCCACACATCCCCGTTCACTCTACTCACCCCACTCACTCCACTTAGCTTGCTCATCCCACAAATCTCATTCAATCCTTTCACCCCACCTAACCCACTCTTCTTCCTTATCCCACTCAGCCCGCTCACCCTGTATTGAGTACGTATGAGGAGTTCGATCTCCGATGGCTCCACAACAAACAAGTCGACCTCTGCGTAACCCAAGTCCATGGACCACCTGATTGCCTATCAGATTATTTCAACAAGACCTCAAGGAGGTGGAGATCAAGGAGGCTATAGACTGGAAGATCCTATCCCGATCTGACGATGGGACAAACTTTTATCTCTCTCGTATTCGTCGGACGTGATCAGACTAGTTAGAGGCTGCCAGGCTGGGTTCCTCGAAAGAAGTCGGGATGCTAAACTGTTGCAGTTTTCGGCGGAACATGCGCGGCAGCTAACAAGGAAACGCGATATTCTCGATGTCTTCTTTACTAACAATGAAGGAATGGTGAATGACGTTCGGATTGAGGATACTTCGCTGTCCAACCGCCGTTTGGTGTTGGTGGAAAAGACAATTGGAACTGAGCCCAAGACTATAAGAGACTGGCAGTGCTCAATTTCCGTCTTCAAAGAACAGGCAAGGATGCAATTCCGAATGAACTCCCCAGTAATTTATTGGGGTGCATAGTTTCATGTGAGAATTAATTGCTGATGAAATTTACACACTCTGAAAGGGACAGTGCAGGTGTGTGTCAGTCATAAACCCCGAAAAGAATGGGCCCTAAAGTTCATAGTATTTCGAGAAACCAAAAATTATCGTGAGAAAACGCACGCGATTAAATAAACAAATTGCCGAATCATCTTGTGATTTGAGGAGACAGAGACTGAGACTAGTAGAGCTCCAAAAGGCAGCTGAGCGAAGGTTGCGGGACTTTAACACAGGACGGAAGCACAAGCTGCCGAGGAACCAGTGCATGGTTGAACTAGTATAAGGTTGACCCATGAGAAGCCCATTTTCGCGGATGGAGCTTGTTGTTCGCCTGTGACATCACTGATCTCAGTGACGTCATAGGCATTAACCAATCACCGAAACGCGATCAAACCAATCGACCAATCCGTCATGGGAATGACGGGTTTGTTTACGTTTCTCGATCTACGTGACGTAATAAAAAAGCTGAACTGAAAGGTGGATGTTCTGGTGGGTCAACCTTATATAGTTCAACCATGAACCAGCGATTGTGGTCATCAAAGTGAACCCAAAGTATATTCTATTTGAAAACGCCTAGTTCAAGGCACCCGTGGGCTTGCTGAAGGATAACGATGTCCTTGTTGGAGATGACCAGGGCATGATACGAGAGTTACTGGGAGCGCAGTTTGAATCAGTGGTTAGCAACGGGTTGTAGAACATTGACTTTGGAACGTTCACAAAGCTAATGACATTAAAAAACAATAAATTAACGTGATTCAACCGAGGGAAACGTGTAATTCAACGTTAATTCTGTTGGAGAGCTTCCAATCTATTAACGAACAAGAGTTCCACAATGCACGTGATCGTTCCTCACCCAATACTTCATAAACCACGAATTTTTGAATGAATAAGCAGGGTTTAAATGAATATAAGTAACGACGAATGAATAGAAAGACCAACAATAAACCTGACATCCTAACAACCTACAACCCTAATACTATTAACAAGCCTAACCATAAGAATCTAACCATAACCGTGCGTTTCAATCCACTTCCAATATAATCCATAAGATTCAAGTCCAAAAATCTAGGCCTTCGTTAGAAAGAACAAAAATGACACTTGAAATACCTAACCGAAGTATATGAACATATGATAACAAATTAACACACAAAATTAATCAATATAACCCGAAACGATTCACTTTAAAATTGAACAATCACAAATAAAATCACAGAGCTGTCGATTAACGAACCTCCACCGCAAGATCACGAGATACAATGATAAATAAAACACCCTGCTGCTGGAGGTCACGGCTAAAGTAATTGAAAACTGAAAATGATCAACCAAAATCCTAAACCTAATACATTGCATTTTGTAAATAATATATACAGCAACAAATTAAATCTATTTCCTGTACAATTCAACGTAATCTGTCTGGTGGGGGAAGACACGAATAAAAAACATCAAAGTACTGTCGACGTTTTCAGTTCACAGGACCCGATGGAGTTCCAGCTATGCTACTGAAGAAGAGTGTTGGAGCACTGAATTTAGGTTCCGCTCACAATGCTCTGGAAAGCCTCGTTGATGGAGGGAATTATACCCAAGGGCCTCAAAGTGGGACTGGTTACACCAATTCACAAATGAGATCCGAAAGACAAACCTGAAAATTACAGTCCAGTGACCTTGACCTCACACGTGATCAAGGTGTTTGAGAAGGTAGTGGCAAAGAGACTGGTTCAGTGTATGCGAAGAGGTTTTACTGTACAGTGTACAATAATGTACAACACGGTTTTCCGCGAGATCGCTCCTGTTCGTCGTAGTTAGTGGAACACGACCATTCCTCCTTGTAGCCCTACTGCATGGAGGAGGAAGCTGACGCTGCCGGGTTTTTCTTGAACTTTGCAAAAGCTTTTAATAAAGTTGACCATAGAATACTAATCAGAAAGCTAAGACTATTGCAGGTAGGAGAAAGCCTGTATAGGTGAATCCACAACTTCCTTATGGACTTATCCCCACACACCAGGACTATCCAGGTGAATGGTGGATTCACTAGTCCTAGACTATGGACTATCCAGGTGAATCCACAACTTTCTGATGCCAACCAAAAAAATGGATTTTTACTGGTCTCATGGCCCAGATTCGTTCAACTATATAGGCAGAGTGCATAAACCAAAAATTTTAATAATCCAACTCCGTTTACTAGATGCACAATGAATGTCGAGTTTCTACAAATGAAGCCTAAATCAATTACGGTAACGGTTTCAATGAAATGCTTAACAGTGTAAGTAAACTAAATATTATTCAATGTAATACACCACCGAAATGCTACGGTGCACGACTGTCACTGAATAAAGTACAGTTGTTTAGTCACTGAAAAGTCTATCAATAAAAGATTTCTTTGAACCAGGAAATTGCTGATGATGATGTTCGACGACCTGATGAAGGTAATATTTTTTCCTCTGGGCTAATCAACACAGAGTTGCAGTTCGTTATCAGAGGAATATCACATTCAGCAGCATCAACGACAATTTTCAGCTTCTGCACTTCTTGACAACTGAAGCAGTGTTTTTTTCTATGTTGGCTGTAGGAAGTGAATTTTAATTTGCATTGCCGCAACTTGTGTGTGTTACTTGAGACGATGTTTCACAGAGCCCACTCACCCTACTCAGCCCACTCGCACCACTCTAGCAGAGGTCGGCATCGGAGCAATCACTGTATAAGTAATGGCAATCTTCGGGAAGCAATAACAATCACTGGAGAAACAATGCCAATCATTGGGGAAACAGCAGCAATCATATAATCCGACAAGCAATAGCAATCATCGGGGCCCAAAACTTTCTCTCTTATCAAAAAATATTATTACTTAAATGATACGTTTTTCGCCTACGCCGATGTTGTGGGCAATGTTTGGTACACCAGAGCCGCTTATTAGGCCTCTCATTAGGCCTCTCAATAGCCCTCTCTTCGTCTCGTATTGTCATTCCTCGATCCTTCTTTAATGGACACTGTCACGCCTCCAGTTTTGCCGTCACTTTCCTCATGGCACAGCACACTCACACAATACATGTCGATGTATTATGTTCTCGGTATGGTGATCTGATAACGGTAGCACTAGTGACATTTGCAGCACTCACCATGAAGTAGATGACGTCTCCCTCGGACAAGTTGAGGGGTCTGGTGGCGGCTTCCCTCACCAGCTCAGGGCCGTTCATCACAAAGGACATCTCCCGTCCAGAGGGCGTCTCCTCGCCCAAGAGACCTTCGCTGCTTTTTTTCGCGTCATATTCTGCTACGGAAAATCAGGCGCTGAAATGAATGCGATAAAGAGAAATTATAAAATAATAAAAATTTATTACAGAGGCACTAACTTGTCAGCGAGAAAAGCTCAGCGTTGACACTCTTTATTTTGAAAATAATAAAAATTACAAGAAGAAGACAAACATATGAGGACTAAAAACTTTACTCAATCTAAAATTCTCAAAATTGTTACCAAAGAAGACATCGTTACATTCCGTAGCCGATTTATTGGCCAATGAGTTGTACTGAAATGTTAAACATCCGTGAGCTACAGTGGGTCTCGGCACTCACCGACTAGGTCGCCAAAGGTCGCGTTGGTAGACAAACTGGCAACTCCTGCTGCCCAGGTAGCGTCTGCCTCTGACAGCTTCGCTTTGGCAGCGGCTGTCGCATGCAGCTTCATCCTCGCAGCGTCTGTCTCTGACAGCTCAGTCTCTGGGCAGTAAGGCAGAAGCTGGTGCCCAGTGATCGTCAGCCACGGTGACTCCGTCAATGCGTTTTCCTAAAGCACAACAGCTGCTGTCAAGCAGAGTTCATACTACAGACTGAACACGTTCATACTGAACTGAAGAGTTCGTAGCCGGATGGTAATTCGTCCGTTAGAAGAGAGGCGTTAGTTACCAAAAAATATGTTACGAGCATCCAATGATGTTAAATAAAATGAATACTGAGAGAAATGATGTTGCAGGCTTCCAATTATGTTACTAAATGGTAATACTGTGATTAATGATTTATTAATATCCAATTATAAGAAGACAGCAAGTGCGACTCATATATAATGCTATCTAATGTCACTGGAACTAACTACTTCTAAGTTAATTTTCCATTAACGGAATAACAATAGAAGTAATGGTTGTGTAGTGCGTACGGCAAATTTGGCCACAAGCGACAGTGCTGCTGCTGGTGGGAAATTTTAATTTAAACGATGCGTAGGAGATTCGCTCGCTACGTAATATTATGAATAGTATAGCCTTGTATAGGACAGGTTGTGAGGTTAGGAGGAAGGAGTTGGGGAGGTTAGGAGACAGCGAGAGTTGGTGACTATCGTGGGTTGCCTACGTGGATGATATGAAACATAGACGTACTCGAAAGATGGGAATTTTTTGGCGAGGTAGCATGTAGCGCTGTCGGTTTCTTCTGACGAAGCCAGCGAGCACTCGCAGCGAGAAGCGCGTAGGCGAGGGACAATGTTTTACAACCGCCAGGAATTAAAGTAGGACTTGGGACGAGGTAAAACCAATAGCAGCAACAACCTAACACGCTCGTGGTGAATTGAGGCAACTGTGGTATAGTCAAGTCCTCGAACTACGATGTCAAAGATACACATGATAACAATCATAACAACGCACGGAAGCGTTTTGCCATCCTCCAGCCAGACCAAAGAAGTTCTCGTGTCTAACTGAGCACCCACGTCATAGTCCATCTTGTTGACAGACCAAACGACACTCCTACGACCACCGGCACCTGGAACGCAAAAAGATAGAACACTTCGAAGAAGCGCAGAGTCAGACTTCAGGAACTTTAAAGGGACGCGTGTGCAAGACCCACACTCGGGCACTACTCGCCCGCCTCTGTATCAGAACTACAGCCACACGCGCTGCGCCGGAGGAGCTGCCGAAAATTGCCGGTTGAAAGCCAAAGCAAGTGCGATATCAGTCGCGTGACTGCTTTCTTCCTTCGTAAAAGCCCGCAGATGAACCCTAGTCGTGATACTTCGTAAGTGCCCCGCCCTTCAAATGTTGGTGTAACTTTTTATTGTGTTCCACAACCCCTTATTATTTTCGCCTGTTCATTTTACACAGTTCCAGTTTACAAAGACCTCGTACGTGTCAATAAACAGACCAGGCCATTCGAGCCAGGCTAACTAACGTTAGGTTAATCGGTCAGAGTAAAGACCGATTGTTGCTGAGTGTTGGATGATTGCAGGGAGATGAGTTGAAGAATTCCATCAACCATCAGGTAGTTAAATCAATTGCTGAGCGATGAAAGTGAAAGCACTAGCAGGGAATTGAAGAGTCAAGACAAATTTTTTTGGCTACACAGTTCTATGAAACATTCATCACTTATTATTGGTACTTTGAAGTAAGCTTGACGCTTCGTAATTTTTAGGATCTCATAATGTTCAGTATAATTATAAGTTGTTCAGTATAATAAGTAAAAGTAGGCGTTAGTGCTGCTGTTGGGTGCATGGAAGGCAACTGACGGGGGCGTCGGACATGAGGAGGTTGGTGTGCTGGCTGGGGGAGATGAGGAGGTTGTCCAGCGCCCACTGGTCCCCGTCCCCGTGGCGGGGCTGCCAGATGCGCCACCTTACGACTCCCCCCGAAACAAGCTCGGGGGGAAGGGTCGACCGGAACAATCTGGTTGATAAAAGAAAAATGAAAAAATAAAATAACGAGAGTTGTGAAAGAGACACGTGGGGTGGAAAGACGGGGAGAATGAGCCTCGGTAATGGAAGGGAGATGCAAGTAGAAGGAGTGACCCAGGTACAGAATGATTCACAGAAACTTTTTGTTTTGTACTTCGCGCCAAGCAGCCTGATGTTGTAGAAAAATAGCAAAAAACATTTCATATGAAAAGCAAGTTTATGAAGTTTAGTGTCCTGCCTATTTAGTTACCACTATGCATTNCTAGATGTGTATAAGAGACAGTGCCTAAACCGTCAATCTGTCTATAAAACTTGCCAGCAAATATGAAAAACGAGTTAAGAACTGATAATTCTAAAAGAGATTTGAAAAATTTACGGTTTAAACCAAACACAAGATCGTTAACATTTTTAAACAGAGAATTGAGACAAACGTTTTCTATAACGTTTCTATATCTATATAGATATGAATTTTTGTGGACTATTCTTTGCTTTTAAATTTTTAGTCAACTTGCGATTTAAGCAAATAAGTGACATTAATAATTTACCAGTTCCTTTTTTTGTTGAGCTTTCAAATCAGGAAATTCCCGTAAATCTCCCTGTATGGGGAGTGGTGGGAGAGGTGAGTGTTACTTTCAAGGTTGGGGAGGTGAGCATGCTAGTTGTGGTGATAATTATTACGAAGGAGGGAAATAGCGTATAATAGCAATAAGATATGGAAAGGAGCAAATATGCTTGTGGGTATGGTATGGTTAACACCAACGAGAACAGCCGGGATGAATGATTTGCAGAAGGCAATAATAGAGACGCGGACCAGAGTATAACCGACCACTTTTTAAGACAACTATCATACCCTGCTGCATATCTGCAGGATAGCAAACAATTACGTGCTTTGAATTCACAGGAAACAAAAGGATAAGCCAATAAAATATTTTGAGACAGATGCCGCAGACCCACCTGGGGGAGCGGTAGAGGTCGGGCACGAGCTCCTGCAGCAACGTCCACTCTAGACCACCGTCGGTGGAGTACTGAACCACGACGCTGCCCTCGCTCATCCCTGTTGAGGGTATAAAGGTGCTTATACACGAGGCGAATAGTTGCGTCGACTAGTCAATGCAACTAAAATGTGTGATGATTTACGTCTTCAGAGGCAACTAGCTGTTGCAGTGCACCCAGAGCCACTCAGGTTGTTTCTTGACAGTCTAGTATGCTCAGTAGCGGCTCGGCCTTCATACTGAGTATAGCTGATTCGATCTCTCTTGCCCACTGTAGCGCACACATCTGTCGAGCTCTCGCTTGCCTTTACCTTGCACACACCTTGCTCGATAACTCCCAAAGTCGCACTGGCGCCGGCGTATTGTACTGAAAACACTCTCCTCGTGTACAGACTCTCAGCCTGCAAAACTGTAGTCGACGCAACTATTTGCCGCGTGTATAAGCACCTCTAACGGGTAAAGCAACTTCGCCTTCACACACCCAAACAGTTCCGATGTCCTCGTTAATGTCTCCTTCAATGTCCCCGTCAACGTCCCCGTCAACGTCCTCGTTAATGTCTCCTTCAATGTCCCCGTCAACGTCCCCGTCAATGTCCCCGTCAACGTCAACTTCCCCAAAGACAACGTCAACGTCGGGTACTCACCGCGCCAAAGTAGAGGCTGTTGGCGGCCACAACGGAGCCACATCCTTGTCCACCGGCCACCAGGTGGCCGCCCACCACGGTTAGGCCATGGCGGGTGAGGTCATCACTGGGGCGGTGGATGGACGAGTGGTCGTCTTGCTTCTTAGGGACGTCAGGGGACGAGATGGACGGCGTGACGACGTCGTCAAATTCTACATCAACGGAGCGGGGCAGCTTGTGGACAGGCATGCACGACAGTCCGTGGAAATTGTGGTCGCAACTGTGAGCGAGAGGACATTGTGGGTGAGTGAGGGATATTGTGGTGAGTGAAGGATATTGAGATGAGTGAGGGAAATTGTGGTGAGTGAATGATATTGTGGTGAGAGGGGGAGATTGTGGTGAGTGAGGGATATTGTGGTGAGTTGGGGATATTGTGGTGAGTGGAAGATATTGTGGTGAATGAGGGATATTCTGGTGAGTAAAGGATATTGTGGTGAGTGGGGATATTGTGGCGAATAAGGAATATTGTCAATGAGTGAGGGATTTTCTCGGTGAGTGAGGGGCATTGTCGATGAGCCCGGATCCCTTGTCAGTTAGTGAGGTTTTTGTGATGAGTATGGATATTGAGGTGAGTGATGGAAATTGTCGCTGAGTTAGGGATATTGCGATAATAATAAAATTCAAGCGCAATAAAAAACGTAATTCCCGAAGTTAACACACTACGTGACTTACGTGGCATCATTTAGACAAGCTGATGCAAGATGTCTTTTGCTTGCTTCTTGCTGATAGTAGTGATGCAGAAACAGACTATCTGGGATTGTGCTGATGAACCCATCCAGTTGTCTACTGAAGGTCTCAGGAGCGAACTTAACGGCCTTAGTTCATTGAACTGCCTCGAACACGTCAGGAGATTAAATCCTTGCTCGAACCCCCTGAACTCTGACAGCAGCTCGGTTACATGAAGGGGGTGTCTAACACTTGCACAGTCTCCGCCTCCTCTCAATGTGAAATGTAATTTTCAAGATATGAGCCCGATCGAGCCTAATTTTCTTGTGTGTACAGAATGACATACCTCTAAAATTTGCTCTGAATACAGACCCTGGCGCTTCACCCTCCCCCGGAGAAGACCAGCTCCCTCATCCCGCTGATCCTTGACGTGAAGGTTCGCTGGACCGCTTTTCAACTATTGCAAGGCTGCAAGGCACCCACCGTGAACGGGGTGCAAAGTTGACAGCAGTACTCAAGGAGAAGGATCACAAATGCCTTCAAGTGTATATCTGCACCGCACCTCTGGTTCTGATCGACCGCGAGGTCGCCCTGTCTGTCATCAGCCTTTATCATCTATTGCAGCTAGTATATGGAGTCACCAGACGTGACCTCAGTGCTCATCATTATTCCGTGATCACGCATGAATCACTACAACAATTTCGGTGCCGGCTAATACCAGATAGTATTGCTGCATTCTGACTTCCGCCCCAACTCAGTACCTTGGTAATTCAACGTTGGTGCCGTTGAATGGCATGTTATCAGCTGGAGCCTGGACCTAGATTGTCAACTCGCAAGTCTCCTTGCAGGCTCTCGATGGCCTGTCCGTCTGTAATCCTCATCAGCACTTATGTCTCGTTCACTGATGACTAGATAGCTGCGCGTGCGATGGAAGGTTTGTGAAGCATTTTCTCTCATGGTATATATAGTTCTGAATATGCACAGACGGTGCTCTTTGGTTTACTGTGCTTAAGTTTAGTGTTATGTATTAGACTAAATTATGCGTGAAGACTTTTATTTAAAGACAAATGAGCGTTATCTCATTTTACTGCGCTACAATTTGAAGGTTCTTTGCAGGTGTGCCATAAAATAGGGCTATGCATCTTGCCGTAATGAGTAATGTTTTACTAACTTCAACTCGTTAATTTTGTTGCCAAAGGATTAAACCTATATATACGTGACAATATTATCTGGTAATTATCTCTTATCTCATGGGCAGAATGGCCGAGTGTTTACAGTTCCGAGTACTAGGATTGCTGCATTGAGGTGAGGGTTCAATCCCTGCTTCCTGTGACAGTTCTGGTCAAAATTGGCAAAGAAAACGAATGTTTCAGAATAGCAAGATTGGAGCAGCGAGATGCGGGTATGAAACCCAGCAAGCAGTAAGAATTCTGCTGTGTGTAAAATCGGCAACAGACCAGACCATTACGAATAGAGTTTTGTTCATAAAGGTCCGTTATTTGAGTTACTCCTTGAAAACTGACATTCTTACTGATATTATCGATCTTGATGATAGTGCAAAAGTTGCAATTCGAATAAGAGAGAAATATCTGATGCTGGTAACCTCCTGCCGTATTTGTGCCCAAATCTTACAAGCTTAACCGACTCACAAGGGGTTTGGTATTTACATACTACATTGCATCCATATCACATTGCCGAAATTTATTCATTGAAAAAAACAGACAGGCGACGAAAACCTCGCCTTGGACATAGCGAAGCTTGAAATTACCGCCAATATATTTGTCCAATTGGACGAATGAGCTTCGAATATAATCAAAAATTGCCTTTATGAGAGACGACAGATTAGTACAGCTAGGCGCTAAAAGGTTAAACCAGTCGTGAGCACGAAATGCAGTAGCGGACATAATCAAGAGGCGCAGGCAGTGTTTCTATCCAATAAAGTTTCTGACAACGTTTTGATGTAGCCATAACCCACATCACATGTCCACTCGTGTCGTGTTTTTCTCGCACTCCTTGGCTTTTGTCTGTGTTATGGTGTGGCTAGTACCCACACCTCTCACCCTAACCTTCCGTGTTGTAGGAGCAAACACATCCTAAACCCAGCCTCTTCTTGCGTTATGTCGTGGCTAATGCTCACATCAGTCGCTTCTGCTTCTCCATTTCGTCGATACTAGAACCATAAACAATCGCGTCTTTTTCCTGCGTTTTGGTTGGGCAAGTACCACAACACTCGCTTTTTTCACGTGCTGTGGGAAGGCATTTTACTCTGACTCATGCATCGCTCTTTTGAGTCTCAAACCGCCAGAGCTTCACCGTGTTTTTTATAGTTCCTAATACTAACAAGTTCTTAATAGCATCTCGTGGTCGATTTGTTAAAACCTATAGAAAATTCCAGATATACCACGTCGATGATGGCATCCTCCCCCAGTAGTGGGGGATGATGGCCTCCCCCCCCACAATGTGGTCGTGATGATCTATGTGTAACCAGCAGGTGCGAAAACCGTCTTGTAACACTACAAATTTCAGCCTCCTCCATATAAAGTGCAAGTTTCCTGGCCAGGACCTTTTCACACAACTAGATTACCTACGAGGTCAAAATAAAATTAAGGTATTTAACTTTGGGGTCAGTCTTGGGTACTTCTAGCCAAGGCATCTGGTCCGAACTAGATATCCTCCAACCCCCTCCGTAGGTACCGTAGAACTAGAGCCCCACGATCAAACCGCCCCACTATCAAACACAACCAGGACGATATAAGTATAACAACAGAGCACATGCAGCCACTAGACACAACCACGATCGCATAACATAATCACAGATACTGATACAGTTCCCAACCAAACCGTTCCCAACTCAATCATAGCAAAGGTAGTCCTATGTACGCACACGCAGCCGTCACGAGTGCACTGGCCGTGCCCTGAGCAGTAGCCGTTGCAGCGATGGCCGATGTAGAGGTCGTCTACGGCCCACTCGACTGTGCCCGCGCCCAGGTCCTCAGAGGATGGTTGCCCTTGAGCGTCCAAAGTGCCCTCCCGCAACCGAAGACGGGTCACAGGCGACCTATAATACACGGGACAAGTTCATCCATTGCTCATCAAAAACGGATTATAAGAACCATTATTTGCTGCATATTTATGCAATGATCGTTTCTCAACCTTTATTTTTCAACTCTCATAACATCCGTGAAAACATCACTCATGTTGTGAGGATATTTTCCAAATATAATTAAGAATTGAATATTTTTCGTTGAGAATCGTCGCGCCGGCTATAGCTTTTTGCACACGTCAATAAACTCCCGAAGCGGGAAAACTTAGTGGTGTGTAGATGGTACCCACCATGTATGCCGGGGCAGGCGGAGGGTCACCCTCCCCCAGCGGGAAAACTCGGTGGAGTGGTAGACGGTACCGCGGGTGAAGTGGGAGCTACATCCTGCGGTCGAAGGAGAGCACGGACGTTGCACCAGCTGCCAGCTCACTCCGTGGTTCAGCGAGTACTCGAGCATCACCTGCAGGAGGTACTTGAAGGTGATAGAGTTAACGACTTACAGATTACACGATAAACAAGATACAGCCGACGAATAATAACAGTTACAACACATTTTTTTAGACAACACCTCTCACGCACGACACGTCGCAAGCACAACACGTCTCACGCACAACACGCATCACGCACCACGTTCTCAGCGCCATTCTCCCGCCGGTCCAGCGGGTGGTCGCTCTTAGGTCCTGCACAGGCGATGATGAGGAGGAACTGCATCATGAAGGAGGGTCCTACGGCCAGGGACTTGGTCTCGAGGAGCCTCTTCTTGCTGGGGGGTGTGGACGTTCCAGGGAAAGTGGACAGCAGTGAGTTGGAGTTCGTAGGGAAGACGAGCACTTCGTTCCGTCCACACGAAGACGACAGTGAGCCCAGATGGAATCTGGGGGCCATCAAATTTATGCAGAAATAGATAACAAAATTCTTGTGATTATGATATTCCAAAGGCATGTTTGTCCATACGAGGACAAAGAAAAAAAATAATATAAAAAAAAACTTGATAGCAGACTTAGATATTACCTATAATATCAACCGAAAATATTTCAAACTGAGGCAACAGAAATATTGATTGCAGAAAAAATTCGTGGCGATTCAATGAATGATTAAACGATGGATGAACAATTAGTGAGACGCGCAGACCTAAGCGAGTCATTCGCGGCGTGGATGTCGTCGAAGTGCAGCTGGATGTAGTCGAGTGCGGTGGATGTGACGGTGAGGTCATCCACGGCCCACATGTCCTGGTCAGCGCCCGAGTGTTGTGGCTGCGACAGCCTGAACCTGCAGCTGTCGCCCCGTGCTGACGGTGGCAGCGTCAGGGACACGTGGCTGACGAGGGGATGAGTTATGAGTGTCCTGCCCTCATATGAGTGTCCTGCCCCTCACATGAGTGTCCTGTCCCTCACATGAGTGTCCTGCCCCTCACATGAGTGTCCAGCCCCTCACATGAGTGTACTGCCCCTCACATGAGTGTCCTGCCCCCCACATGAGTGTCCTGCCCCCCACATGNAGTGTCCCACCCCTCACATGAGTGCCCCACCCCTCACATGAGCTGTCTCTTATACACATCTAGATGTGTATAAGAGACAGACTTTATAGTAAGCTTGACGCTTCATAATTTTTAGGATCTCATAATATTCTGTATTATTATGAGTAAAAATAGGAGTTAGTGCCACTGTTGGGTGCATGGAAGGCAACTGACGGGGGCGTCGGACATGAGGAGGTTGGTGTGCTGGCTGGGGGAGATGAGGAGGTTGTCCAGCGCCCACTGGTCCCCGTCCCCGTGGCGGGGCTGCCAGATGCGCCACCTTACGACTCCCCCCGACACAAGCTCGGGGGGAAGGGTCGACCGGAACAGTCTGGCGGAGGAGGGAGAGAACCAAAAAAACTTATAAAATAACGAGAGTTGTGGAAGAGACAATTGGTTGGAAGGGCGGGGACAAGGAGAAGGGGAAAAGGTAGGGAGATGCAAGTAGGAGTAACAGGAATACTTCCCGTTTTGTATTTTGTGCCAAGAAGCCAGATGTTGTAGGAAAAAAATGTAAAGAATTTCTTATGAAAGGCAAGGTCATGACGTTTAGTGTCTTGTCAAGTCAGTTGTCAAGTAAGTAGCGTGCGTTGGCTATCAAAGCGTACTTTTCTAAAGGCCGTTTTGCAGAGTTGTTTCGGTATGAGACAACATTTTGCAGAACGTCTCATCTCCATGAGAGATGATCTTCTTTGGCCGGCCTGATTCCCCGATTTGGCTCCGTGTGATTTTTTATGCGGTTATCTTGAATCAATTGTTTGCAAGGCCTGTCCCATAACCCTACCTCATTTGTAGAACAACATACGCCAAGCCATCGCAAACATACCAGTCAATATGCTTCAGCGAGTTGAACGGAATTAAAAAATTGACTAACTGAGTGCATTGACAATGGGGGCCGTCATTTGTCCGATGTCAACTTTAAAACTGAGGTAATATCTTTTCATTACTAATAATTAGTAATTATTCTAACTTAAGGTAATATCTTTTCAATAAAATTTACATTGTAATGATATCTTCACTAGTTCTTTTTTCATTGAGCTTCTAAATCAGGGAGTTTTCATAAATCACCCTGTTTGTGGAGTGGTGGGAGTGGTGAGCATGTCACTCACAAGGTTGGGGTGAGCATGCTATTTGCGGTGATAATTATCACGAAAATGGAGGGGAATAATACCAGTAAGACAAGGAACGGAGCGAATATGCTTGTGGGTATGGTTAACACCCACGAGAACAGCCGGGAGCAGATGGCAATAATGGAGACGCTGACCAGAGAAACCGATCACTTTTCAAGACAACTATCATGACCTGCTGCACATCTGCAGGATAACAAACAATTACGGGCTTCGAATCCACAGGAAACAAGAGGATACGCCAATAAAATATTTTTAGATAGATGCCACAGTCCCACCTGGGAGAGCGGTAGAGGTCTGGCACGAGCTCCTGCAGCAATGCCCACTCCAGACCACCGTCGGTGGAGTACTGAACAACGACGCTGCCCTCACTCATCCCTGTTGAGGGTATAAAGGTGCTTATACACGAGGCGAACAGTTGCGTCGATTAGTTGCGTCGAGAAGTCGACGCAACTAAAATTTGTGATAATTTTCGTCTTCAGAGGCAACTAGCTATTGCAGTGCACCCAGAGCAACTCAGGTTATTTCTCTCTCTCCTCGTGTATAGGCAACTCTCTCTCTCCTCGTGTAGGTAGAACTCTCTCTCTCCTCGGCTCTCAGCCTGCAAAACTCTGGTCGACTCAACTAATCGACGCAACTATTTGCCTCGCGTATAAGCACCTTTAACGAGTCAGGCAACTTCGCCTTCACACACCCAAACAGTTCCGATTGATGAGAGATCAACAATTTCTAAGATGCCAAAATGAAGAGGAAACGATCCGTGAACTTGTTATAACCTGAGAACAAACTGAACTGAGACGAGCTACACCTACCTAGTGACTGAGACGAGCTACACCTACCTAGTGACTGAGACGAGCTACACCTACCTAGTGACTGAGACGNCTAGATGTGTATAAGAGACAGCCTCCAGCACCTCCACCACCAGCACCACCAATAGTGATGTGGAACTGGATGCTGTGCAGGGAAGCAGCAGCCATGTCATCCACTTCCAGCTGCCGCACGCCAGGCTGCTCATCCAAAATAAGCACGTCTTCATCTTTTATAATAATAATGATGGTGATTTGGAGGCAGATGTTGCATGGATGCAACTGCCACAGAGAAGTGGACGTTAATATCCACAATGATGTCCCCGTCAATGTCCCCGTCAACGTCCCCGTCAACGTCCCCGTCAACGTCCCCAGCTCAGGTGGTCACCTCGGCGAGGTTTGCTGACGTCTGCACGGGTGCCGTGAAGGGCTCGGCCAGGAAGGGCGGGCGCTCCAGGGCAGCGACGTCGCAGCGTCGGCCCGTGTATCCGAACTCACATCTGAGGAGCGGGTACGGGTGACGGGAGTGAGGGTACAGACAACAAGTACGTGGGCAGAAGAAACCTTCAGTAGCCATAACAATTGACCATATTTCTGTCACCAACAGGAGCCAGCCATCTCATCCACCTAACGGGTACCCCACCGCCCCTACCCACCTGCAGGAACCCGTCGCCAGGCAGCGGCCACGCCCCCCGCAGCCGCCGTCACAGGCGCCGACGAAGATGTCATCGATGGCCCAGGCGGCGGCGCTGACGCGGCCCGACGCGTCGTCGTGGAGGGCGAGGCGGAGGCGCGTGTGGGGGCCGAGGACGGCGTACGGCAGCGGCATCGTCACCAGCGACCACCTGCAGGAGGAGTGAGGTAGTACCATATATTGTGGCGACCACCTGCAGTAGGAATGAGGTAGTACCATATACTGTGGCGACCACCTGCAGGAGGAATGAGGCAGTACCATATATTGTGGCGACCACCTGCAGGAGGAATGAGGCAGTACCATATATTGTGGCGACCACCTGCAGGAGGAGTGAGGTAGTACCATATATTGCGGTGACCACCTGCAGGAGGAATGAGGTAGTACCATATACTGTGGCGACCACCTGCAGGAGGAGTGAGGTAGTACCATGGCGACCACCTGTGAGAGAGATAAGCCCTCTGCTGGGCGGTTAGTGCACACACAACTTGAAGCAGTTAGTGCAGCCACTGCCGTACGTACCAGCCGTGGCTGCGAGCGTCCTCCTGTAGTGTCCGTTCAGCGCCACGTGAGGCCCTTATGATGGCGCCCAAGGCGCCTTTCGGCACTTCACTGGCGCTAACGTAACGCAAATTTGCAGCGGCGTAAGCAATCTCGGAGTCAAATTTGTATCAGGCCTTACCCGCCATAGCTTGGGCACAGCTCCACTGGGCCCGTTCGACCCACCCTTGCTCGTAGGCAGGCCCTACGACGGCCGTGAGGCTCTGTACGGCTCCATCACAGGCCCCAGGAAGGCAGGGTTGGTGCAGGGGCGTCCACGTGCGGCCGTAGTCAGTGGAGCCCTCGAGGACGATCAGCACGGGCGCCTGGTACGGCCGGCGCCCGTAGAGGGGGCGGGGCAGCGAAGAGCATCCAAGGTTCACACGCGCCTGGGGGAGAGGGGGGAGAGATGTGCGGGATGATAAGATGAGACAATTGACAACCTAAATATGTATAATACTTGAGAAGGATGTGCAAATAAAGTCATAATATACATAAAGTTAGAGTCTGGGATGCAAACAAAAAATGGGACAGAGAGCAATGATAAGGAAAATGTAAATAATAGCTTTCAAGAAAATAATAATGCAGTGCCCTGCGCTTTAGCTCTGCTAGGTTGTCTATTTGCTTCATTAGAACTCATGAAACTAAATCATTGAATATTTAACAGAATACTCGAGTCGGACTGAGCCTTGCCAGCAGCGTTGATGCCAGCACTGTACTAGTAACACGGTACACTTCACACCATCACCACGCAGCACAGTACACATAACATCACTACGCATTACATTACTCACAATACAATGGTATGTCATCACTGAACTCACCTGGAAGTACTTTATGCAGCACAGTACTAGTAACACAGTACACTTCATACTAATCATACCATCACCACTAAGCACAGTACTAGTAACACAGTACACTTCATACGTACCATCACCACGCAGCACAGTACTAGTAACGCATTACACTTCATACCATCACAACACAGCACAGTACTAGTAACATCACCACGCAGCACAGTATACATAACATCACTACGCATTACATTACTCACAATACAATGGTATGTCATCACTGAACTCACCTGGAAGTACTTGGTTGGGGCGGACGGCAAGTGGGGGAGTAGCGTGAGTGCCGCCACGGACCACACGGCGGCCCCGGCGCTGCCCAGCGTCGTCTGCTCCACGCACAGCCTGCGCGGGGCAGCGTGAGCGACGTGTAAATGCGGGAAATTCTTGAACTATCAAATCATCTGAGGTAAAATAGAACTTACAAGCTCTACAATTACAAGCAAATGAAGTCATACATCGAGCGTATTTGATACCGGCTTCTAACCGGCTTCCCAGGGTAGACACGGCCGAATCTGAAATGTCGTTAGAAATTTCCCCCTTCTTAATGAGAGAATGGGAATGGTTTTTCAAATGAATACGCTATATTCGTTGTACACATGGATATATGTATAAAATCTATATATTTGACTACTGCTTATCGCTCCCTATTAAGAACAGTTTTGTTCAAGAAATTCAGAGTGAATCCTATCAAAAACTTAATATTTATACATGGACTCGGGTAGCAATCAGGAACCATTTGGATATGGGATAGATGTAAAATGGTGGCAAAATATCCATTTCCAGTCACTTTGCGAAAGTAAATTCTCTGAGGTAATACAATTTTTTATTTTATTTTTATATATTTCCCAGGTTCCATCCATACAGTATTTCCATCTGAAAAAAACTAGGTTGTGCGCTTAGTGTATCTGTGTGTATCTGTTAAATTACTTGTCAGATGTCATGAAGCTTAAGTCACCTTAAATTTATATCGAGCAAATTGTTTTGCCTAAGCCTCAAAACTCTGCGTTAAAATATTACCGAAAGAACTCGACCATAACTATCTTCAAAATTTATGTTGCTATTATAGTAGCCATTTTTAATTTGCTTTGTCATTAAGGCTTTGCAGTTGAAACGAGTTCAACTTACAAGCCATTCGGTGCCGACGGCCGAGTGCCCCCCGCTTGGCCTAACCGTGCATGACTGTTAAACAGATAATGCAGAATGCAGAACCTTCTGTTCTACAAATTGATCAAATTTTCGAGATGAATTAAAAATTAGAACTCAAGGCAATTGAATATAGGTAGCTCAAGTGACAACTGAGGCAATGCGCATGCCTTAAGCAGACAATTTTTATCTCTTCCTAAATCTTGCAATATCCTGCTGTTGTGTTCTTAAATATGTGATGAGGAGATGCACAACATTCAACTTCATTTTCAAAAGTACTAGAGAGTAAAAGCAAAGAAATTTGCCTTTGAAAATGAATTTTTTAAGTCGTACACTTCATTGCATAAGGCTAGACAACATAAAAAAATAGAGAAGCGCGTGTCAATCTTAACAAATGAACTTAGTGCCGTAACTTGACTGCAACAACCTTACAGGTGATGAGGTTCGTCATGAGGTTATTTCTTGTTTCATCGCCGGCCGGTGCATTGGAGTTACTGAGCTAAAAAATTAGGTTTTTTTAATCGTTTAAGTTAACATCTACACGTTAATTACTTACAGTTATAACCAGAGAATAAGGCGGAATATAATAACCTAGCACTTCACTTTACACAGAGCCGGACTGCCACGATACACTTAAGTGGCTACAACAACAAATATATATTTTGCATAAGTGTCACCCTGATGATCACGTGTGGTTGCACACTGTTCATCCGGCCACTAGAGATCAACTGGCTGAATATTGAGCAACGATGCCAAATGACAGCTCAGTGAAAAAAAAATTAAATCATGCAATATATTAGGCCACTTTTCTATTATTGCCAACAGAGAACAAATTGCGTAGCTAAAAACCAATAATATTGATCGTCTAGAGGCTACTTAAAGTCTCGGTTTAGTTCCAACACAAGAAATTACCCACGCATACATGAGTTACAACCCTACACGTTTCCCTACACGTGCATTGTTTGCATTACTAGGGTAGGGGCTTGTAACGGTCCTGCTGAGGCATCATGCCAGCGTCTGAGCAGAGTTAGCACAGGGCTTGATCAGCGGCTTATTTTCAGTGTCACTCAACGCTTGTATTCATATTTTTATACAAAAACACTCCAAATATATTTCAAATTAGCAGCTAATTTGAGGAGGTAACCGATGAACGCCATTAAGCCGAATGTAACGAGCCTCTCCAGCCCCTAAAAGGTATCCAAAAAGAGATAGAAAACCCACTATAATAAAATATGCTGTCGTGGGTATAGTGGTAAAAACGGGATGAATAAGAACGATAAATGGAAACTATAATAAGCAAACGACAAATACAAATAAAGACAAAACTATATAACCGTGTGTTCCCTTTGCTCAAGTTCTTACTTTCGGTCTCAAGATTCGGAGCCTTTCTGAAATTAAGAAATAAGTGAAAATTTAGAACTAGCAATATTTGAGCAACCAAAAGCCGAATATTACGTAAGCCAGATAAATAAACTATCGACTGATAACCATAATCAAGAACAAATCTAAACATCACCACTGAATTGCAACAGGAAATGATCACAAAAATAAGCAGACCAAATTATAAAGTAACGCGTACCTCCGTGGTGGATCATGTAGCAATGAACAAGTTTCGGTGCTTACCTGAACGAGGTCACGTCCGAGGTGACTTAAAACCAAAAAATCCAAATGTCTAACTGTAAAAACACGCTATTACACTACGTACCCTAACAATGCAGTCCGCAGAAAAAATTAATTTGCCGCAAAAAATGACCACCACCATTAAAGAGGAGCCTTTTGAATACAAATGAGATCACCGCTTAAAATTGGAGCCTCTTTGGAAGGCAGGGACCGAAGTATTTCATCAGAGTCAAGAAAAGCAGCCGAGGGCAATTTATAATAAAATATATATCAGTTCAATTGATTATTTCCTGCCAATTTGATTGATTTCAAAATAATTTTAATGACCAATTAAGGTTAAAAAGATAGTCGTTTTCATGGTATAACGTTTAGCGGTACTGTATTTCATGCAAAAAAACTTGCGGCAAACGATCACAAATACGCACGTGGCGTCAATTGGGGGCGTGCAGATCTTCCTGACCCCCTCCCCCTCCATGACGAGCAGCGGGGGGCTGCCGCTCCCCCCACATGACGTCACCGCACCCCCAGTCAACCTCCAGCTGATGCAATAGACACCACATGGAAAATTAATTAAAACCCCACGATAATAATCTGTTATATTCTTTTATTAAATATTGTATTTTACTCGTGATATTTTACCAATTAACTCAAACTCGCTGTCTACTACACATTATAATTAAAATTATATCATATCAAGGAATTTGTAGCAATTATATGGAAACTACCGCCACGTTTCTGAAGGAAACTGAAATTTAGAAGTAACTTCTTTTCGCGGTGCAGAGTAAAATAAACCTGAGACGCATAGTCCGTAGAGTTGCGGCGGCGCCTGCTGTACCAGCCTAATAACATGCTGTACCAGCCTAATCACGTGCTGCACCAGCCTAATAACATGCTGCACCAGCCTAATAACGTGCTGTACCAGCCTAATAACGTGCTGTACCAGCCTAATAACGTGCTGCACCAGCCTAATAACGTGCTGCACCAGCCTAATAACGTGCTGTACCAGCCTAATCACGTGCTGTAGTGCAGTTTTGCATCACCTATTGACATTCGTGATCAAAATGCTGGGCCGCCATTGTTCAGTTCCAGCCTCACCCTTCGCCCAAGGGTTGCCCGAAGCTCTGATGCAAGAGGAGGTCCGCGTCAGGAGGGTCGCCGTAGAGGTCCATCAGGGACGTGGTGGCGACCCTGAGCCGCAGCTGCTGCTGGTGCTGCTGCTGCTGCGCCGCGGTGCCAGACGCTACCTCAGGGAACGTCAGCGACGCACTGTCTGACGAACACGAGCGCTGACGTGGAAAAATGGTATATGAAGTTAGATCTATTTCTACCAGTATCATATTTATTGTCATGAAACGTTTATAATGTGAATCTTGCTTAGAAATACTGCACACAATGTGCATCGGGCGGATCTCTAAACATTATTTCCATTTATTCTATAAATACTTGAATATGTTCCTTGTCCAGAACTGAATGCTCCCTATAGAAACAGCATTCATAATTGAGCCAACAATACTTAACAGAGGCGAACGTAAGGAAAAAATAACATATTCTGGAAACTCCTGCACAATAAACAGTGGCTTAAATTTCTAGTTTCGTAAATTTAACCGCAAGATTCCGTCATTGTGAAAAGAATAAAAAGTACTTATTGAATCAATTGTACCAGGACCAAATGATGCTCGCCGTGTCGCGCTACCACCCTAACAAAATTTCGATGTCGCCCCGACTGCAACAGGCGTCGTCTAGAACTCTAGAACCCATTTCAGCCGGGCCCAGCTAGCAAGCTTAGGAAGACTTGGCTTTGTCAAGCCTTTCATACTCTCACGTTTCTATTGAGTCGGAAAGGAGATTATGACTAGAAGCGGATTTTCATCGAGGGGTCAAGCAGACCGACAATAACTCTAATCCGAGTGTAGCGACTCTTCAACAGATGCCTAGTTAGAGTAGAATAGAGTAGAATAGAGTAGAATAGAGTGGAATAGAGTAGAATAGAGTAGAATAGAGTAGAATAGAGTAGAATAGAGTAGAATAGAGTGCAAAAAAAAAACTTCAACTCAATTGTGTATATTAAATTATTGGTTAGTAAATTGAATATAATTTATTTGCGGACCTATAGTATGAATTACTAAATTCAATCAATTATGTTTAATTAGAAGATCTCACCTCGACCAAGCCCTGTGGGAAGGAGAACCAGTTGGAGGGACTGAAGGAGTCGAAGTCCTCAACAAAATCGGTGTTGTGGGCGGACAAAGCTTTGGTCTGGGCACCGAGGATGACGTCATCAATGACGAGGCAGAGGTCGGTGGACTTGGTGGTGCCGAGCTTGTGGTCTTGGTGAGGCAAGACCACAAATTTGATGCAGGCGCGTGGACGGCGCAGCTGCAGCGGGGTGAAGACCACGTGCTCCACCCCCTGCGCCGTGGCGCTGGCGAGACAGGCGAGTGTTGCGATAACAAATAAAACTATACGATAAAACTATTTCTACAATATGATAATAATATTAAGAGAAAAACATTTCTGTGTTAATTTAGTTGGTAATTACAGGTAAAGGCCTATTTGGTCGAATTCATGAGAAAGAATATAGGATGATTAGATGAGTGTCTGTCATGGAATAAAGTGTGCCGTACTCTCATGGGCTACTCGTGTCGGTGAGAACCATCCCAAAAAATTCATGTTACTCGTCGAGAAAGCCTTGAGTATTTAACGAGTACTTGGTGAGTATTTGGTGAGTACTTGGAGAGTACTTGGTGAGTACTTGGTGAGTACTTGGTGACTACTTGGTGACTACTTGGTGACTACTTGGTGAGTACTTGGTGAGTACTTGAAGACTACTTGGTGCCTATATACTTGGTGACTACTTGGTGAGTACTTGGCGAGTACTTGGTGAGTACTTGGAGACTACTTGGTGAGTACTTGGTGAGTAACGTGCAGAAAAATTGATGAGTAAGCCTCTGACTCCATATGAATGGATTCAGATGCGTTTGATTTTCGATTAAAATATTATAATAATCAGAGCTGCTGTACCATCGTCCACGAAAGAATCAAAGTTGATTGGTTATCGTTAATTTAGTGATCAGAGCTGATTGGTTGTCAAATGAAGAAAATCAAGTGAAGAAAATCAATGATATTTTCCATCACCGGAAACATGTGAAGTATGAAGCGCAACTGGCAAGCATGGAAGGTAATGCGCGCTGTACCTGAATTCGTTTTCCAGCACCCAGCTGCCGCACCGTCGGCCATCGTCAGAGTTCGCATGGTTGTAAGTCGTCCCAAGTTCACTGTCGCTGACGTGCGGTGGACGAACACCGTCAGCAAAAGCTTTATTTGCCGAATTAATTTCCAAATTCTCGGCGTCGTTTAATTGCTGCGCTCTCGAGGACCTGGAAGTGTCCGGACTGCTCGCCTGTGGGGGGCCAGACGCCGGGGGCGGGGGACTCTCGTCCCACGGGCTCGCCTGTAGCTCGTTGCGCTCGCCTGCCTCGACCAGACCGAAGTAGAGCTGCACCACAGAGCCTTCCTTGCACGGGCCTGACGTCAGCGTGAAGTGCAGGTCCACGGCTGTGGGAGTGAATTTTCTGTCCAGTTGTCAATTCAGAAAGTTACAAATAATTACAAGTGAATAAGCTATTAGTTTGTTATACGGAATTGAAAAATTTCTTAGTCGAAATACTTCATTCTTTTGTTATGTAAGGGAAACCTTTGCAAGAACACCAAAAAAATAACTTCATAATTATTCTAAATAAATTATAATTGCAATTCCTGACAACATAATCACATTCCCTCTGCCGCTTTACCATCAGTGAAATCAAAGGGCGTGGTCTCAGCGTGGCTGGCGGAGGCGCTGCTGAGGACGAGGGCTGAGCCGGAGCCTGAGCCGAAGACCTCCTGCACGGCGCCCCCCGACACCGACGACCTGGTGGGGGGGAGGAGGGGAGAACTCATCGCAATAGTTGGGCTGCCAAGCCAGAAAGTCGAGCGTCTGACTATAATGAATCAGCCTATAGTGAATTGGCCTATAGTGAATCAGCCTATAGTGCATCAGCCTATAGTGCATCAGCCTATAGTGCATCAGCCTATAGTCAATCAGCCAATAGTGAATCGGCCTATAGCAGAAGGGAATAGCAAATATATAGCAGAACTGGAATAGCAATTCCCGGTTGTCTTGTAACATACGACCACATAATTTACAAGCCGATAAAAATATCGCATTCTTCTTCACAGTTGATTACATACTCGGCCATGGAGCGTCGTGCGCAGAAGTGGGAGCGTGCGTACGGTAATGCGCGCATTATAATCGTACGGTAATGCGCGCATTATAATCGTACGGTAATGCGCGCATTATAATCGTACGGTAATGCGCGCATTATAATCGTACGGTAATGCGCGCATAATGATCGCTGTTGCTGTGACTTACTTTCTAGGCCAAGCACGCTTGAAGGGATTTCGCAAGGGTAGCAGTACAAACATACGCAGTGAAGTTTACAGTTGCTGTGCGATTACAAAGCCGAACTTTAAGGTTGGGTTTGCCTGCGGTGAATACAATAAGATTCACGCACCAATATCCACCACACGCCGTGTCCCAGACACCCACCACACGTCCCAGACACCCACCGCACGTCCCAGACACCCACCACACGTCCCAGACACCCACCACACGTCCCAGACACCCACCACACGTCCCAGACACCCACCACACGTCCCAGACACCACCACACGTCCCAGACACCCACCACACGTCCCAGACACCCACCACACGTCCCAGACACCCACCACACGTCAGGGTCGGGCTGGGACGCGACGAAGGAGTCCCTCAGGAGTACGTGGGACTGCGGCCGCCAGCCTGACGCGAGGCCGGGCGCCGCCTGCAGCTCAGCGGGACCGCTCTCTGCAGCACAAGTTACGGTTATTGTTATACTGTTATTGTTATCTTATTAATGTTATTTTGCTATAGTTATGTTGCTATTGTTATACTGGTAATTTTTCATTGCTATACTGTTACTATTATCATATTCATTGAAATTTTATTATCAGCAAATTGAATCAGTCTAATGTGGCACGTCAGTTATGTGGCACGCCAGTTATGACTAACGAGTAAAATCATTTATTCTTAACACATGCCAAAATATATAAGCAGTTGAACGTAGTAAGACTAATCTTCAGAATTAAAACATTGGTAGCAAATATTTCCTTCTCTTAACTCCAGAGCATGAAACTATAACTAAATAAGCTAGCACAACCTAATATAGGGAGGGACTTTGTTCATGACACGCTTGCTAAAGGCGAACGCTTGCTATAGGCGAACGCTTATGTGTATATTAAATGTGTTTTTGAAAAAAATAATCATCAGTATTTGTATAGTGAAATGAGTCAGTCAACATGTTTGTACAGTAAACTAAGTGTCAAAGTGTTTGAAAAATCGGTAAACTGAGTCAGACAAGATGTTTCTCTTTTGTTTTAAACTTTGGTTGCCCAAATCTCTAACATTAGGCGAACTGCGATTCGTGGCCGTGGCTGCAACGCACGGCGCACTGACAATAAAAAAAATACGGCACAAACTTGTAATAAATCGTCTGGTTCTTCAAACCTTTGCCTTTAAATGAGCCTTGCTGAATTTTACTTGAAGACCCTTTACATATATATCATGAATCGGTACACTCGGGTGTTAAGCTCCCTGTCTTTGGGTCTAAATGGTGGTCAAGTTGGGGTCTACTTGGGGGCACTACTCTGGAGTCTACATAGGGGTCAGTTTAGGGATCTACTTAATGGTATATTTAGAGGTCTACTTGGGGATCTACATGGGGTCTACTGTACCTATACATGCATGGGTACAATCTACCAGGGTTTTGTGAGTTACCTTGCTCGCAGACCTCGAAGATGTTGATATCTCTGTAGACCAGCGTGCCCCCGACAGACCCGGTAGCCCTGGGCCACACCAAACATTGAAACAACTCACATCCAACAACATCATGAACGTGATCATCAAACACATGAACATTAATTCAGATTTCATCAATGCGCTTCACGACAGACAAATTTTTTTCAAAATTTTTGCACTTTCTTGATGAAAATTTTCAACATAGCAATTGATCTTTTATTCTTTGACGATGGTGCAACAATTAACAGAAATTATCATGAATAATTAACGGTGATTACTATGATAATTAATGATCATTATCAAAGATAATGTTCGATCAACAACAAAAATAACTAATGATATTTGAATCCGAAAATGTTTGATGGTTGATTAAGATAAATGACGATGTAAAGGATCGAGAATTTTCGATAATTATCTAAGATGAAAATGTTCGATCAACTACTGATGTAATTAACAACATTTTTCTTCGAGACTGTTCGATCAGCGACTAAGATAATTAACAATATTCAACCGCGAGAATATTCGATCATTAACTAAGATAACAATATTTAATCACGAAAATGCTCTACCATGAAATGACATAATTTACCATATTTAGTTCCAGTATACTAGTAATGAAATATAAAACGATATTTAGCTCCAAATCGCTCTTCGAAGGAAGGTTGCGGGTACTGCGAGTCTGTATGATAACTTGAACACGAGTAATGCGAGTCTGGGCCTATACTTTCAAAAAAGTTAAGAGATCGTAATTCCATCAGCCAATAATTGACGGCCTTTCAAGCAAAATCCACCAATCATAGACAAGAAAATAGAGCGTGAGTACTTACGTTCACTTAGCCAGTTTTGAAAGTAAGGCCTGTATGACAACTTGGACACGAGTAATGCGAGTCTGTATGACAACTTATAATAATAATAATAGCGGTTTCAGCGTTTATTAGGCCGTAGGCCTGTCGCCGATTCTTAACATCGCAGAACATTCACAGCTTGTCGAGGTCTCGAACTCGCAGCTCACTGCTCCAATTCTGCTGTGCTTAATAGCCCGGCCTCCTCGCCGATTCTGACCAGAAACTGGCGCACAGAGCTGGGATCGAACCCGCGCCTCTCTGCTCCAATCCGGGTACTCTGAACTGTAACCACTGGGCCCATATACTTGGACTCGAGTAATGCGAGTCTGTATGACACTTGGACACGAGCAATTCGAGTCTGTATGGCAATTTGGACACGAGTAATACGAGTCGGTATATAAATTAAACACGTTCTCATGCGGTCAGGTTTAGTCAATATAAGATAATGGTTACCGGTAATACGATAGGTGGAAAAAATGAACTGGATACAAGTTTTGCTCCAATAAGGAAAAGATATATAAAGTGGATAGGGATTTCTCTGTCAAAGATGGAACTATGTATATGCTGATTATAGAGTATAGGAAGGAAATAACTAAGAATAATGAATTAGCTTAGGTATATTGTCTTACAGGAAGGCGACGCAGCCTGAGCCAGCGGCAGGTGCGACCCAGAGAAACGTGTGCTCCCGCTGAGGGGCGGCCGCCGACTGCTGGTGCAGCACAGTGAGTGCAATATGGGTACTGTCAGTTCAGTTTAACATGGGTACAGTCAGTTCAGTGTAACATGGGTACAGTCAGTTCGGTGTTACATGGGTACAATTAGTTCAGTGTAACATGTGTACAATCAGTTGAGTGCAATATGGGTACTGTCAGTTCAGTGTAACAGAGGTACAGGCAGTTCAGGGTGGCATGGCTATAATCAGTCCATTGTATCATTGGTACAATTATTCTATAGTAGAATATGTTCACATGTCTCGTCGTAACATGTCAACAGTTGTTCCCGGGTTACATTGTTACACTTGCTCTCTTGTAGCATGACTACAATCGTTGCATACTAACATTGCTACAATCGATGCTTGGAAATTGAAAAAGAAACTGCCCGTCTGATTGCTTTGAAACAATTGAACAACCATTTCATTTGGAACAGTTGTCGGGTCGCTCGTTCCGTTGGTTCAATGAAACGTGGCACAAATAACAGTTAACAGGCTTTATTCAGAGAACATTAACAAGCAGAGTTACACAGATAAAGAGTGTTCGGGCGGCACGACCAGCATAACTTGGTTAAAAGGTCCGCACACGTGTAACACTGCTAAAAGACTCCCGGATCAACCCGCCACTGACTGACGACGCATTGTCACAGCGAGAAATCCGCTAAATTAAACATGAGAAAACATGACAAAACCTAATGCAATAACGAGGAAATACTTAAATAATACAAGGCTAGCGTGAGACAGGCGAACTCATAATAATACAATATACAAATGTTAAAAATTACACCCTACAACAGAACAATTTCAGAGAAATTTGTAGGTTAATCCGTACAATAGGTTCCACTGGTGCTGATTTGTGCCCAGCAACTCGGACTGGCAAGGTGTGTAAGCTATTCTGAAATTAGTTCACGTCATTTATTTTTTAAGGGTTTTGCATAGTGTGATTTAGTCTGAGCATAGTAAACGTTGTGCATATAACTTTCAACTACAATTTAGAGATCAAACGATTAAGGTGATATTCAACGAGTTTTGGTTATTTCCTACCTGGAGTCTGGAACCTGACATGGCAGCAATAACGACCCTGGACTTCTCAATAGGTCTTCCTTGCAAAGAAGACTATGTGGCACTTCATTAACCGGACGACACGACTCGTACTATGTGTTGAAAGTAAATCTCAAATGCACGCGCCACTTAGAGGCCATCTGGTACACTTTGGTGTTCCTTGTTCTATAAACACTGCAGCCGTATGCGACACATATATAAAACACTGTCGCAAGAGATTGAAGCTTTGTTGTATTTGTGGCTGTGCCAATAATTTGCTCATCATTGTGGATGTGCCAATAATTTGCTCAATAATAAATCATTGCTCAATTCGTAAGCGGGATCACCAGCAAGCTCCTAATCTCTGCATCTTCGTTTGTATATGACTCGGGATTACGACACCCCTGGGTCATCGACAGTCGTAAAACAGTTATCACCGTTAATCGCAATTTAAGTAAGATGCTCCAACTCTTCCCTGGTAGTGTCGGAACAAGACCGCCGACTCTATATAAGGATGTTGCTTTCACAGCAACATCCTTATTATAAATACAGCAACAACTCTAACCTCGGCGATTAAATGGACCACGTCTGTGAGCCAGCCGGCTCAGTTCAGAAAGGCTTATTGGTGGGACAATACAAAAATCATGCACAACTATAAACTCGCACAGTTCTATCTGGAGTTTAGTTGCAACAGTTACAACATGTTTCGCACCAGTCAATCCTACCAACTCAATTGAATGATCATTTAAGATCTTATCAGCCCCTAAAGCAAGGGTTTGCACGAAACCTTTAGCAATTAGACTTACTTGAGCTCCCGTATCAACGAGAGCGCAACATGACGCACCCTGGACGCGAATGTCATTAAGTGTTGGGACGCTGCAATCGTCCACCTTACAAAACAATAGGTCAAGATCGTACTCTTCGTCCTCAATGGGTTCAGCCACGCTATCAACCGCAACGGTTTCCTCAGCAAGTTCCAATTTAGGAGGAGAAAAATATTTCAATTCGATCAAAGGATTATAATGGATACCTGCCAAACATTGCAAAGACAATACCTCCTCGCTATTACACATGTCATGTCTATAAATTACAGGTGACTTACAACAATAATACACGTCTATCCTTACATTGAACAATTTGCTGGCAACGTATAACACTTCTAAACACGGCAAATTTCCTGGAATTTGCATTAATTTCAAAGCAAGTTTCGTCTCTGAGTTGGCAGACAATTTATAACCTTTCAAATCTGAGAGAATATCCTCGACAAGCACCCGCCGTAGTTCTACATGGGATTGAGGGCAACCTTTCACTCGGTGACTCTTAAACAATACTCTTTGCAGGCTAATGAAAAGAGAGTCTCCACCACCTGGCGCAGGCGAACCATCTAAAATTAATCCTGCAGGTAATGACTGGTCACATTCACCCTCAGTCTCGATACCAGGAGCAGAGGTCCATCGACATAGTCGGTCCGCAGCAACATTCAACCTACCAGGGGTGAACCGTATTTCAAAGCTGAATTCTGCTAAATCCTCTACAGTACGAGCAAGTCGGCTACTTACCAACTTCATGTTATGTAAATACACAAGAGCTTGGTGGTCAGTATGCACAATAAAATCAATCCCGTACAAGAAAGGTCGCAAATTCTTAACTGCCCAACGCAACGCAGCTAATTCCCTCTCAATTGTGGAATAATTCTTCTGGTTTTTAAGAAACGTCGTAGAAGCATACACAATGACCTTCGAAACGCCCCCCTGCTTCTGCATCAAACAGGCTCCTGCTCCTGTGGCCGAAGCATCAACCCAGAGCTCAAGCTTTTCAGCATTGGGTGAATAGTCTGGGTAAGCTAATATGCATTCCTCGGCGACGAGCTTCTTCAAGGTCTCGAACGACTCAAGCATCTGATCGGACCATTTGAGTTTAACCGAGCCTCGCTTGCCAGTAAATTTAGAAAGAGGTTGCATTAGGTCTGAACAAAATGGCACAAATTTCCGTTGAAAATTAATCAAACCTAAGAATTTCTGCAGGTCTCTAACTGTCGTCGGTCTAGGATACTAGACCGACGAATAGGATAGTAGTGTAATAATAGGATAGATCCTATAGGATAGGATCTAGGATAGTACTGCTTCAACGAATTTTGGTGTCTTTCGAATGCCAGACTCACTCACAACATGACCCAAAAATTCCACCTCGCGTGATACCCACGTACATTTTGATGGCTTTACCTTAATGCCACTGTCTGCCAGAATAGATAAAACTTTATGCACGAGGGATACATGAGACATGAAATCAGATTCGACAATGAGAATATCATCAATGTAAATTTTAACCTTATCGCTAGAAACTTCTTTGTATAAAATATTCTGCAAAGTTCGCTGAAAGGCCGAAGGAGCCGTCTTTAGCCCAAATGGCAACCGTCTGAACTGCCATTGATTATTATTCGTAGTGAATGCTGTAATTTCCTTGCTGGATTCATGCTAAGGTACCTGATAATAACCCTTTATCAAATCAAGGCACGTAAAGAACTTAGCACCGCCCAAACTATACAAAGAATCCGTTAAATTGGGAATCGGGTGGTTGTCAGCTTTAATTACTTTATTGAGTTTACGATAGTCAATGCACATTCTAATGGTCTTATCAGGTTTGCGGATGGGAACAATAGGAAACGCCCACGGAGAAACGCTAGGTTCTATGATTCCTAATGCGTGCAAATCCTCACATTGTTTGTTAATTTCGTCTTCAATTGGTTTAGGAAAACGTCTTGGGCGCTCGTAAATGGGAGTATCGTTCATCAGTTCAATTTTGTACTCTGTGGATTGAGTCCGACCAATATCTTACTAAGGTCTTCTGAGGTGGAGTTAATGTTTGTAGCCCTGAAGAGCACTCCGATTGTTCAGGGCGTCTTTGTTTAAACGTCCGTTCGAACAATCTTTTCCCAAGTGATTGCCTTGGCATTGCGGACAACGTAAAGATCGGTTTCTCTTCGGACACTGAGCGGAAAAATGTCCAACTTCGCCGCAAAATGTCCAACTTCGCCGCAGTTGTAGCACGACTGTCTGGTTCGACACTTATCTTCAAGGTGTCCTGATTTCCCGCACCACGTACAAAAATTATCGTTGCGGGTCAGGCGCCGTACACGTGAGGAGAACGCAGATTTGTAGTCGACTCGCGGCTGTTTGAGATGACCTCAGGCCTATTACCATGAGTTGCAGAGACATTATCCTCAACTCGACAGGCTGCGAATCTTACACCCAACGTTTTGACGTCATCCAGGTCGACACGTGCAGTCTTTCCGCTGGTTTCATCCATGTCGCGTGCCAATCCCATCAACGATTTCCAGGGAAGTTTGAATGAATAATCTCTTTCGATACGACTATGGCGTTCGATGGTTCGTACTTCTCGCGAAAACTGACCCGGCACTGATCGTAAGAATTGCTCACGTGCTTCACGGGCGCACTCCTTGTCGTTGTCGTATCCTTGCTGGGCCATGTTCATCAAGCGCATTCCATAGAGGTAAAGCTTCTCTCCGGGTTCAATTGAGGCTTTCCTGAGTTCACGCCGCCAATAAGATCTCTTGCCGATCTTTTGCGTCCTGTACCAACGTAAGAGCTCACTCTTCAGATACGAGTACTGGCAACTCGACGTACACAAGCGGCTGTAAACTTCCTTCACTTCACCTGACAGGAAGTCTCCTAAATGTCTCGCACACTCCCTCGAGCTGCCACCAACAAACTTGCGGTTGAAATAATGCTCGTAGTCAGATAAGAAATCTTTCAGATGTTGTTGACCATCGACAACAAAAATGTTAGGTTTCACTACCTTTGTTGAAACGACATTATGGTTATAATTAAACACTATTTCTTCTTCCGAAGAAGACGCATCTTCGTCTGAATCCGAGATGGTTATGGTCTCGATAACCGCCCTCCGAGAAACTTTCTGTGACGAGATACCGCGGCCAGCCTCCTTCTTGACTAAAGGGATTTTCTTCCTGGCACCTCCATGGCTTTCTTTGCTCAACGTGTCAGGTTCCAGCACAGGTGAGTCATCACTGTTCTCACTCTCAAAATGAACACAGCGGTCAGCCATTGGCGTACTTCTCCAAAAATCTGCGTCTGAGAGCAATTCAAGGATATCGTACCATGCACTGTAGGCTTTGCGCATGACATCACCCTCACCAATCGCAAATCTACGTGGAGATCTGGCCAAAAGTTCAGCAAAATGACCGGCGGCTATATCACAGCATTTGGAAGAACTCACATCATGCGCGGGTAGCAGGTTCCATCTTAATTGGTCGATCTGTTGGAGTAGAGTAGTCTCATCAGCCGGGACATTAAACTTCCCCTGCAAAAGTGCACTTCTCACTTGAGGATGGCTGAACTGAAGAAGCAAACTCTGAATTCTGATCACTTTACTGAGGTCTACATCATCAGTAGGTTCCGCACTCCGACTACTTTTACCAGTCACTTCACACTGCGGTGAATTATCGTTAGTCTCTGACATCACAAGCCCACCACTTCACTAATCTGAACCAATAAAACCACAGAACGAAAGTTCGAAATGTTAAACACGTTGGGCGCCAATTGTTGTCGGGTCGTTCGTTCCGTTGGTTCAATGAAACGTGGCACAAATAACAGTTAACGGGCTTTATTCAGAGAACATTAACAAGCAGAGTTACACAGATAACGAGTGTTCGGGCGGCACGACCAGCATAACGTGGTTAAAAAATCCGCACACGTGTAACATTGCTAAAAGACTGCCGGATCAACCCGCCACTGACTAACGACACATCGTCACAGCGAGAAATCCGCTATATTAAACACGAGAAAACATGACAAAACCTAATGAATTAAGGAAATAATTAATACAAGGCTAGCGTGAGACAGGCGAACTCACAATAATACAATATACAAATGTTAAAATTTACACCCTACAACAGTGTAACTCACATGGCAGTGGAGTTAGTCGCGCTGGACTCGTACATGTACAGGTCATCCCGATACCGTCTGCGGCGGTAGGCCGCTGAACGCGTGGCCAGCACTGCCCCAGAGATGGAAGAGTCCACCACCAGGAGGCACAGTGGCTATTCGTGGACAGTCATGAAGTAAAATAAATGTAATTGTCTAATATTTGTATCACAATAATTTTTGTTCATAAATACTCACAGATATATATAAAAAATACACATTTTAATTATGCATTTTACTCCCATGTCCCGTATGGACATCACCGCTAAACACGTTTTCTTTGTTCAAGTATCTGCAACGAATTTACACTCCAAAGTATTGTCATTCGAACATTATCCTGCCATATAAATGCCGGTGATCCAAATGTGCTTCATGACTATATAGGACTTCTCCGAAATTTAAAGTACCTCGATTGCCTTACTCGCAAATAAACAAGGCTTTTAACAGCAAATGATATGAATGTAAAATTGTCATATCTTTTTGAAGAAAGTTTTCAGTATAATCTCATTTTCATTAAAAGTCAAACTCACCAATGACTCGTTACAGTCACCATATATCAAATTACCTCTGACTCGTTAGAGTCATCATATATCAAACTCACCACTGATTCGGTAAAGTCGTCATTTATCGAACTCACCGCTCACTTGTTACAGTCACCATCCATTGAACTCACCTTGGATAGTTACCTTACATCGGATTCACGACTGATTCTTTAGTCACCAGTTATCGAACTCACCACTCGCTACACCCTCCTCATATCGAACTCTCCGCTGACTCGTAACAGAAAACTTATATCTAACTAACCGCTGACTCGCTAAAGTCAACTTATATCGAATTCACCACTGACTTGCTAAAGTCAACTTATATCGAACACACCACTGACTCGTTACAGTCACCATATATCAAATTAACCCCTGACCTGATACAGCCATAATATATCGAATTCTCAACTGATGAGCTAAAGTCACCTAATATCGAACTCACCTCTGACTCGATCAGTCATTTATGTCGAATTCACCACTTACTTCTTACAGTATTCTTATATCAAACTCACCACTGATTCGTTACAGTAATCATATATCAAACACACCACTGATTCGATAAAATCACCATATATCGACCTCACCGCTGATTCGTTACAGTCACCATGCATACATCGAACTCACAACTAATTTGCCACTACCACCTGATTTCGGACTCACTACTGTCTCGTTTCAGTCACCATATAACGAACTCACCACTGACTCGTTACAGTCACCAAATATCAAATTCGCCACTGAGTCTTTACAGCCACAGTATATCGGATTCATCCCTGACTCGTTACACTCATCATATATCAAATTCCCCGTTGACTCGTTACAGTCATCATATATCAAACTGACCACTGACTCGTTACAGTTATCGTTTATCAAATTAGCCACTGCCTCATTACATTCATCACATATCAAACTTACCACTGACTCGCTAGTCGCCTAATTTCGAACTCACCGCTGACTCGTTACAGTCATCATATTTAAAACTCACCACTGAGTCGTTACAGTCATCATGTATCGAACTCGCCACTGACTCGTTACAGGCATATCATATATCGAACTCACCGCTAATTCATTATATTCATTATACATCAAACTTACCACTAACTCGCTACAGTCTCCTTATACCGAACTCACTGATGACTCGCTACCGTCACCTAATATCAAAATTACCTATGGCTTGCTACAGTCACCTGATATCGAACTCAATGCTGACTAGTTACAGTCACCATGCATTGAACTCAGCACTGACTCACTACAGTCACCGTATATCAAACTCACCACTGACTTGTTCCACACGAACCCCCCGCAGACATCGCTGTATGCGCACTGACGGGCGCAGGATGTCACAGTCCCCACCTCCGGGCTTGTGATGGTCCACAGAGGGAAAGCAAGTACCCTGACGAGGGCGAACAGCTCACTAAATCCTGCCGTCATTTTGGTGTGAAGCTGAAAATAGTAAAAAAATATTAACGTATAAAACTTGAATTTGAATTCAGTGCCAAAATCTGTAACGAAAAACTCAAATTATGTAGTTGACATCCGCTCAACTGCCATCGGCAGTCCGTACATTGAAGAATAACTTCGAGTTGAAACATCACGACACTCAGGTCGGCGCAATATGTCATTAGCAATAATATTATTTTTAGGATTAATATGGTATTATTAATATATACAGGGTTCCCTCAAAATAAGGGAAACACCTGAAATATCAACATAATATATTTTAGTATGACGTAGGTAGGCAATTCCCCCCTGACCTTTTGCGGCAATTACAGCCTCCTTATATCGAGGTATTGATTCATACAAGTTGTGAATTGTTTCCAAAATAATTTCAGCCCATTCTTCAGCTAAAACTCCCTCCAGCTCTTTTAAAGACGATGGCGGCGGGAGTCGACTTCTGACTTGCATCTCTGAAATCGGCCATAAATGCTCGATAATATTCAGGTCTTGTGATTGTGGTGGCCAAATGAGATGCTCATTGAATGTTCCTCGTGTCATTTTTTAATAATTCAAAATGTAGCGATCGATGCTTTATCATCTTGAAAGACGGCGTTCCCTCCGGAAACAGTGCCTTAACCATTGGATGAACTTGGTTCTCCAAAATTCCTACATAGTCACGGCTGTTGATTCTCGAATTAAGAGAAATCATTGGTCCGCCGGATTTCCAGGAAATAGCACCCCAGATCATCACAGATCCGCATGTTCAACATTTTTAAAAATTACAATATCAAAGTGTCAGGTGTTTCCCTTATTTTGTCCTATCCCTGTATATACTGTATCAATATACAATATCGAGGTATAACGAATAAGTTACCGAAGAAAAGGCAGATCTTAAGTGAATTCCTGTGAGCTCTTGTACAAGATTTAATATCTTCTCACCTGATTTTAAACCTAATTATCAGTAAAGCGGTTTGTACCGAATTTGCGTCATTGGCTAAAATAAAGTAAGAAAGCTGTGGCACCTAACTTCGATAACTGTTCGTTAGCTTCACTCTGGCTCCACTTGCAGTACCGACTAATCCACAGCAATATTTGAAAAACGCAGTTCATGCCGCGACTCCATTTATATCCTCACGCGATGTCATGTTTGGTAAGTCATAAATCGAATTCTTCTACGTTACTGAAACGCTAGATTCAGTAATGGTCACACTGAGAGAACTACGATGAAATATTCAAAGAGTGTATTTGCCGGACTGGCCTCATACGAGCAACGTCGGTCAGCACTGTGTGCACTGCAAATAAAATTCGTTATGTTTTTTAACATCCGTGGCCGCATAGGCTGCATGTTCCAAGCCCTTATTAACTTTATTCTATCATGTGTTCAAACATGCATGTTTGCGATAGTTGAATGTACATATGACCTCCTGATTCTTTAATTCAACCAATCAACTGCGCGAAGACTTCTCGTGAATTCGAAGTTTGATTCACGCTTCAGCGCAAGATATGGTAAAATTTTAGTCTAAAAGTTTTTTAGACTCAGTGTTTGAGTTTCAATAAACATGTTGAGTTTCAACGCGACTTAATAATATAGCGCTGACAGTACAGAAGAAATATCACCAATATAATATTTTAGGTATTGTTTTTATTATTTGTCTTGTAATTGCCATAAATTCTTTTCAGCGTAGCCGTCATCAAAGAATTTGGTTCCCTAGTCAGCCTCACGGATATTAGTTATTAAAAAAAATAAGTTTACCATACTTCTCGAATGGTTTATAGAAAAGGATGACTGAATCTGTTTTTTAGTTTAATTTATCCACCCTAAATGCTGCATTTATAAACCGCAATACGATAATTTAAAAAATGCTAATGAAGATGTTAACAATGTTAACTCGGTAATACGGCGACGCAAGCGAGGCTACAGTCTATATACGGAAGTATAGCCGTATTCTCCCCGTTTGCTAAGGCCTGCATTTTATCAGCGTTTACTCCAGCAATATCGACATTACCAACTCGGATGTCTCGCTCAGCATTGCTCACGAGGTTGATAAAACTTCGGTAGAACCCGGCCTTGCTATGCGTTATACAGAACGTTAAAATATATTTATTCATCTCGATGTAATATATACCGATCATATATATTTTATTT